TGATATGTTTAGGGATCACCACAACATGAGGAACTATATTAAGGGGTCGCAGCATTAGGAAGGTTGAGAAACACTGGTTTCACCCATTGTGCCACCCCTGCTCTGGAAGAGACAAAAGCCTGGCATGGATCCACCATCCCACCTACCTGGGTTTAGGGATTTCTCTGATCCACAGTGGCATTGAATCGACATCAGGAGCCCACGGTAGTGCAATGGGCTAAACCCTTGTGCTGCCAGGACTAAACACTGACAGGTCGGTTGTTCGAATCCAGGGAGAGGGGTGAGCTTCCTCTGTTAGCTCCAGCTCCCCATGCGGGGAAATGAGGGAAGCTTCCCACAGGATGGTAACATATCCGGGCATCCCCTGGGCAACGTCCTTGCAGACAGCCAATTCTCTCAAACCAGAAGCAACTAACAGTTTCTCAAGTCTCTCCTGACACACACACACACAAGGTAGGTTGAGCTTATCTCCCTTAAAGGAGTTCTCCAAGGTGCTGGATCTATTTTAGTCTTGAATATATCATAGGATAAGCCTGGCATGGATCCTCCGTCCCACTGACCTGAAAGGCACCTGGTTTAAACCACGGTGGCTTGCTTAGGACAAGAAGACGTGGTCAAAAATGCAGCTGGTGGCTCCTCTTCCGCAAGCTGACAAAGGCCACCCTTTCTGCATTGGATAAGCTTCCAGCTCCGGCTGCGATCCCGTTCTCCAGTGGGGAATGTTTTGCTTCCTTTCCATTCAACGTTGCTGCTGTTAGTGCTTGTCTATTGGAAATCAATGGCCCGTTTTGCTCTGCCTTCCCCTCCTTGTTTATGCTGAAAGGGAGAAGCAACACAGCCTTTGGCTCCGCTGGGTGGTCTAGCCTTTTGAATGGCCTCTTGGGACTATAATCCCCACAATCCCCTGCAGGTATGTTGGCTGCTTTAAATTCTGGCTTTCTATCTATAAGAGCAGTGCAGACATCTCAAAAAGCGCACATTTTCATGTGCAAGCTCACATTTCAAAACTTTCCATGTGTATGTATGTGGCAGCTTTTGGATTGGCTCCCACTTTCACAGGCCACTGTGACCCCCACAAATGACAGACCTGGACCAAACTTGGCACACATAACCCCCATGACCCTTTTACATCTTGGTGTGGTTTGGGGAGGATGGACCACGGATGATGGGATTTGCAGTACTTTCAAATGCTTCGGCACCCACAGACCATTGCGGCCCCCAACAATGACAGATCAGGATCAAACTTGGCACACAGAGCCTCCATGACCTCTTTTACATCCTGGTGCAGTTTGAAGGAGGATGGACCATGGATGATGGGACTTGCAGTACCTTCACTAACTTCCTGACACTACTGCAAACCCAACCCAACACAGATCAGGATCAAACTTGGTACACAGAGCCCCCATGACCCTCTCTACATCCTGGTGTGGTTTGGCAAAGGATGGACCATGGATGATGGAACTTGCAATATTTTCGCTCACTTCCTGAGACCACTGCAACCCCCACCAATGATGGATCATGACAAAACTTGGCACACAGAGCTTCCATGACACACACTACATCCTGGAATGGTTTGTGGTATGACAAACCATGAACGATGGAACTTGCAGTACCTTCGCTCACTATCAGAGATCACTGCAACCCACACCAATGACAGATCAAGACCAAACTTGGCACACAGTGCCCCTATTATTTACTCTGCATCTTGGTGTGGTTTGGAGGAGGATGGACCATGGATGATGGGACTTGCATATCGGAGGTGTAGTTCACCCGCACCCATTAAACCCAGTTTACATGGGATCTAGACTAAACTTGGAGCACAGAAAAACAATGTCTTTCTCAAATAACCCGGGCACTGCCAGGTTCCCAAGCTAGTGTAATAAATAATAATAATAATAATAATAATAGCAATAATAATAATAATAGGTAACCTGTCTCTCCTTGTGTCTCAAGACAAACAAGCAATGTTTCTCAAATCTCAAGATTTACAGTTCCGCGTTTAGGATCACAATACTCTAACTTTCCAAGTCAAAATTTAGCTGCTTTGTGTCTCCTGTGGGAGAGATAAAGTGAGGTATAAATAAATAAATATAATAATAATAATAATAGGTAACCTACTTCTCCTCGTGTCTCGAGGCAAACAAGCAATGTTTCTCAAAACTCAAGATTTTCAGTTCCACTTCTAAGATCTCAATACTCTTAAGTTTCCAAGTTCAAATTTTAGCTGGTTTTGAGTATCCTGCAGGAGACATCAAGTGGAGTAATAATGATGATGATGATGATGATTATGATGTCAGCATGCTACCTTCAGTCAGCTGCAAGCCCGGAGTGGCACTTAAAGATTTATTGCTATTTCTAAAAACTACAAAAAACTATATACAGAAGTAACCAAAGACACATCTTTCTTCTTAGCCGTACATCACTAGAAGAGAAAATGTGCTGTTATCTCATCTCTGGAATGTGTGCAGAAACAGGAATTGTCCAAATTTACACTCTAGGCATAAATCATAGCTCTGTGCATTTAACCCTTGCACAGCACAGCATTACATTTCTACCCCGAACACAGAGTTTAAACTATAAACTATATTTCATCACATTTAAACACAGTACTGCCTTTCCTCGTGTCTTGAGGTAAACAAGCCATGTTTCTTCCAATCTCAAGATTTTCAGTTCCATGTTTAGGATAGCAATACTCTTACCTTTCCTAGTTCGAATTTTAGTAAACAACAACAACAAAAACAATAATAAGGTGCTTCCTACCTCCCCTCAGGTCTCAAGGCAAACAAGCAATCATAGAATCCTAGAGTTGGAAGTGACCTCGTGGGCCATCCAGTCCAACCCCATTCTGCCAAGAAGCAGGAATATCACATTGAAAGCAGCCCCAACAGCCTCTTCTTAAAAGCCTCTAAAGAAGGAGCCTCCTCCACACTCCAGTGCAGAGAGTTCCACTGCTGAACAGTTGTCTCAGTCAGCAAGTTCTTCCTCATTTTCAGGTGGAATTTCCTTTCCTGTAGTTTGAAGCCATTGCTCCATGTCCTAGTTTCAAGGGCAGTAGAAAAAAAGCTTGCTCCCTCCTCTCTAGGACTTTCCCTCACATCTTGAAACATGGCCCTCATTATGTCTCCTCTTAGCCTTCTCTTCTGCAGGCTAAATATGCCCAGCTCTTTCAGCCACTCCTCATAGGGCTTGTTCTCTAGACTTTTGATCCTTTGAGTCACCCTCCTTCTTTGGACACATTCCAGCTTAGAGTCAACATCTCCCTTTAATAGCGGTGCCCAGAATTGGACACAGTGTGATTCCAGGTGTGGTCTGACCAAGGCAGAATAGAGCATGGGTAGCATGACTTCCTTGGATCTGGGCACTAGGCTCCTCTGTATGCAGGCCAAAATCCCATTGGCTTTTTTGCTGCCGCTGCATGACATTGTTGGCTCATGTTCACCTTCCAGTTCACGAGGACTCCAAGATCTTTTCCACACATCCTGCTGTCGAGCCAGGCATTGGCCCCCATTCTGTATGTTTGCATTTCCTTTTTTTCTGCCTAAGTGGAGTCTCTAGCATCTGCCCCTGTTGAACTTCACTTTGTTAGTTTCCCATCAATTGTCACAATGTCCAAACTTAAGAGTCCACGTATACCCCATATTTGGAAAACTCACATTAAGTAGGTTCATGCTAGGAGCACCCGGTGGCATAGTGGGTTAAACCCCTGTGCTGACAGGACTGAAGACCAACAGGTCGCAGGTTCAAATCTGGGGAGAGCGCGGATGAGCTCCCTCTGTCAGCTCCAGCTCCTCATGCAGAGACATGAGAGAAGCCTTCCACAAGGATGGTAAAAACATCAAAACATCCAGGCGTCTCCCTGGGCAACATCCTTGCAGACGGACAATTCTCTCACACCAGAAGCGACTTGCAGTTTCTCAAGTCACTCCTGACATGATAAAAAATGTATTTGCTAGAAGAGACTGAGAAATGTGTGACCCAAAGGCTAGGGAAAAGACTCCAAAACAGATGTTGAGCAATGGGTCTTCCCAGCCGGTCAGCTACCAGCCAGGGAGGAAAAAATGAATGTGGGTTGAGCTATTGGGGAAAATGCTACAAATACAATCTCTTATTTTTAGGATTGGAGCATTTGGCCCTATAGATTGGGGTCTTTGGCAAGGAGTAGAGAAGTGGGGACCTCCGGCTTGGGTTTCTCTTGCAGTAGACTTGGCACTGAGCATTGTATCTCTGTGTGGCCTTGGCACAAAGAACGGATGAGCCAGCTTCCGACCGTTTCCCAAGCTTTTCCCTCCCAGACGTAGAAGAAAATAGCTTTTCCTATCAACTCCGTTGGGATGCAAACTGTTGCAATAAAAGCAGTTTTGGATGGCGAAGTCTTGAGTCGAGAAGACCTGCTAGATTTTGCAACAAACCTGCTTTTGCTGAAGGTGCAAACTGTTGTTGATCTAAAGTATTTGTTGATCTAAAGGAGGCAAGACCTGTCAACTTTACGACTAAATTGTTTTAATTCCAAGGACTTTAGGGTAATTCAGTCTTAAGCATGCAAGACCAGTTGGTTTTACAAAGCACCGGCCCTGATTGGTTAGGAGTGTTGCTTTAGATCAGGCATGGGCAAACTTTGGCCCTCCAGGTGTTTTGGACTGCAATCCCTAACCGGCTGTTAGGAATTGTGGGAGTTGCAGTCCAAAACACCTGGAAGGGCCCAAGTTTGCTCATGCCTGGTGTAGAAGCACGATATCAGCATCAACACACGGAGGGGCCAAAGTTTGCCCATGCCTGACTTAGATCAAGACAGACACTTGTGGTTTTAGCTTGCTACGGAACCCAAAGTATTTAGGTTACCGAAGCATTCATTCCCGCTGTGCCAGTTTCCCACACTGAGAGCTGGTTAAAATCCCGGCCGTGAATAATTCAGCGTCTCTCCTGCCGCCTCCGCATTTACGGAGCTGGGAAGTGAGCTGGAAGCAGAGAGAGGCATTCTTGTATTTGTTCCTCGCTCTTAGGTTTGGCTCCGAAGGATGGACAGGATGCGATGACGGTGCAGCATATGTGCGTTTTTTAAGCAATTCAAGAATAGCAGCTGTGGAAGTCTTCAGATAGATTGAGATTCGAATCCGTGGGCGTCTTAACACATGGGTAAGTTTGCCTACGAGAAAACGTCAGACACGTCTATCCCATGCAGAATGGCAGCAATTCTTCTGCAAGCAAAGCCTGAGTTGCTTATGGGTTGCTACTATACTTGGGCATGGGCATAGATTTCACACAGATGCACAGTGCACATGCATTGCACATGGATTCACACTGCGCATTGCACACAGATACACATTTTACATGCACTGCACACAGATGCACATTGCACATGTATCACACATGGATGCACATTGCATGCCGCGCATGGATATGCATTGCATATGCATTGTGCATGGATGCACATTGTGTGTTGCACACAGATTCACAGTGTGCATGCATTGCACATGGATTCACACTGCATGTCACACAAGATGCACATTGTACCTGCATTGCACACAGATGCAATTTGTGCATGCATCATGCATTGGTGTACATTGCACACCGCACATGGATGTACACTATGTATGCATTTTGCACGGTGTACTCTGTGTGCTGCACACAGGTGTACATTGTACATGCACTACTCACAGATGCACATTCCGCATGCATCACACATGGATGCACATTGCATGCCGCACATGGATATGCATTTCACATGCATTGTGCATGGATGCACATTGTGTGTTGCACACAGGTGCACATGCATCGCACACGAATGCACACTTCACATGAATCTCATATGGATGCACATTGTGCATGCATAACTCATGGATGCAAATTGTGCATGCATTTGTGGATTTATTTGCATGTATGATATCTTTGAGTTCATCTACACTGTAGAATGAATGCAGCTTGGCATCACTTTTAAGTGTCATGGGTCAAGGCTATGAACATCTGGGTGCCATAGTTTCACAATGTCTTTAGCCTTCTCTGGCAAAGGGTGCTTTTGCCTCGCCAAACTACAACTCCCAGGGATTCACAGGTGAAATGAACAATAGCAAAGTGAGTTCCAGGTGGCAAAAATGATTACTGAGGAAGAATTTATTTATTATTTATTTACCATATTTATATACTGCCCTTCTCAGCCCGAAGGCAACTCGAGGTGGTTTGAAAATGATTTGCTTTTGCCTGAGCCATCTGGGAAGGGCAAAATTCCATCTCCTCTCTATCACTTTCCTGCTGAATTAATGGATTGCAAACTACTTTTGTGCTTTGCAGCTATTGAAAGAAGCTGAGGACAAAGGAAGAAAGTGAGAGGAAAATGGGTCATTTTAAAAGCAGCTGGAAAAGTGGAGAATTGGGGGGGCGGGTTGCCTTCAAAAGAGGCATACCAGACCCAACCTGGCCACTGTATTTGTTCATTAGTAGCCAGTCCAGTTTGCATTGTGCCGATGCCAGTCTAGTGCCAGTGGGTCCATGGGTGGCCAGGGAAATATCGGGGCCACTTGCGGCCATGGGAAGCCTAGTAGCATCTCACTCCCTCCAAACAAATAGGGCTTTGTTTCTGACCCTGGCTCCTTCCAAAGGCCTTTATTTGAAGGCATCAAAGGGGCTCTTTGCGGGGCATCGCAGCTTCTTGCAGAGCATCCTTGATATCCAGGGAGAGAGAGAAGGAAGGCCTTTCTCTCACTCTTTGCTTTAGAATATCCCTTCCGGCTGCCTTATTGGTGTCTTGGTTCATGCATTCCTATGCAACACAAAGATAGCATCCTAACTGAGAGCTGCTCAGCGACTCAATTAAGCTATAATCAGGGTAGAAATTACTGCCTCTACTAGTAAAGCATGATTATTGTGTCACTCCACATACTGAAGTGTTTGCTATATAATCCCAATCTTTGCATACACAGTCTCTGAACTCTCCCAATCGCGGCAAATATGCTCTTAGGTTCAGACATTTTAGGGTTGCAAAACTTCTGGACTTTCGACTTCCAGTGGGCAGGGATGATGGGAATGGTCACCCAAAAGACTTTGATGTTCTCAAGTTTCTCCAGCCCCGAAAAACACACCTTGGAGCCTGTGGTTTGCTTTCATAGTAAGGAACAAGCAGGAGAGAGAGGGAAGTCTACTTCCCTCCTGGGAAATCTCTGAAGGTCAATCAGCAGAACTGGAAAAGCTGAGTGGGGAAAACATGGCAGTGGCGGCAATTCTGGACAAGGTCGCCAGGATGAAACCAAAAACTGTTGCCACCTCTGTTGCAATGGGCATCGGTCCTTGTCATTGCATGGGATCGCAGGGTTGAAAGGGACCTTAAAGGCCATCTAGTCCAACCTTTCCAGGGTGCTATACACACTGTGCCTGCACTGCATATGGATGCACACTGTGCACCCATCACACCTGAACACACACACTGTGCATGCACTGCATCTGGATGCACACTGCATGCACTGCACTAAGATACACACTGCACATGCATTGTACTCGGATGCACACTACATGCATTACACTTGGATACACACGATGCATGCATTGCGCTCAGCTACACACTGTTCATGCACTGCGCTCAGATACACACTGCATGCATTGTGCTGATAAATACCGCATGCATTGTGCTCAGATGAATACAGCATACATTGTGCTTTGATGCGCACTGCATGCATTGCACTCATATGCACATTGCATGCATTGCACTTGGATACAAACTGTGCATGCATTTAACTTGGATACACACTGCATGCATTGCGCTCAGATACACACTGCATGCATTGCGTTTGGACACACACACACTGTGCATGCATTTCACTTGGATGCACGCTGCATTCATTGCATTCGGATGCACGCTGTGCATGCATTGCACATGGTAGGATACCCCTGAAATATAGGCACTGCATCCTTGTTTGTAAAACTCCAAAGGAAAGAGAGTCTGTTCCGACCTCAAACAACTTCCTCCATCAGGACGTTCTTCCTCCTGTCTCATCTGTTCTGATGTGTCATTTCCTACTGTTTCTGGATGTCCCCCTGCAGTCTCCCACTCATGTTCTGCCCCACAGCAGAACAGGCAAGGAGGCAAGGAGCAGAAGGGAAACGGATATTTTATATATACATACACACTACATTAGAAGCCCTAGAGACTCACGCTAGCATTCTTTAAGGGCAGCTTGCTTTGTATTATGCTGTGGGGTTTTTTTTTTGGGGGGGGGGCACATGTTGCATTTGATCTGAATGATTTCCTTTGTAAAATGTATACTGTTGAGATTTATTGTTCTTCCTTTCCTTTGTATGTGTATGCATGTATGTGTGTTGTGTGTGTGCGTGCATATGTTTTTAATGGTTTTTGTATTGTATTGATTTTATATTGATTTTATAATGCTGTTTTAAATATGTTAATTGTATTTTGTGGATTGTTATGCCATCAAATTGATGCCAATTTGTAAGCCTCCTTGAGTCGCCTTCGGGCTAGAGAAAGGTGGGATAGAAATATCGTAAATAAATAAATTGTGTGTGTGTGTGTCCTAACACCAGGAAATGTGAAGGACTGATTGTATTTATTTTTTGCGTAAACATGTTTTAACCATGTTGAAAACCACCTTGGGCTTTCTGTCAAGCAAACAACAGGATATAAATACCATCTATCTATCTATCTATCTATCTATCTATCTATCTATCTATCTATCTATCTATCTATCTATCTATCTATCTATCTCAATCATACACAAATCTATCCTGGCTGTCTAGTGAGAGTATTCCTGCAGGAAGAGCTGAGAGAGCCCCTTTGGCTTGGTTTTCCTGCTTTTAAAGTGTTTAGGAACAAGCCATGGTTTTCTGTGATTGTAGCTATGTAATAGTGGTATGTTTAATTCTTTCCTGATGTTTGATATGTCTATGGTTTTAAATTGTATGGTTTTTAGTGTCATGAGCAACTTTGAGTCTCGTTCAGAGAAGAAAGAGGGATATTAATAACAATAATAAGGAAGCAGACAAAACAATGGACCACATACTTAGCCGCTGCAAGAAGATCATGCAGACGGACTATAAGCAGAGGCATAATACTGTTGCTCAGATGATTCACTAGAACGTGTGCTACAAATACCATCTGCCTGCGACAAAAAAATGGTGGTATCACAAGCTTGAAAAAGTTACACAAAATAAACATGTCAAACTATTCTGGGACTTCCAAATTCAGAGTTTTGGAGCACAAGACTCCTGTCCCCACGATCGTTTTAAAAAACAAAGTAAGGATCGTAGATGTTGCAATTCCAGGTGACAGCGGAATTGATGAGAAACAACTGGAAAAGCTTACACAATATGATTTAAAGATTGAACTGCACAGACTCTGGCACAAGCCAGTCAAGGTGGTCCCAGTGGTGATCGGCACACTGGGTGTAGTGCCTAAAGACCTTGGCCTGCACTTAAAAACAATCAGTGCAGACAAAATTACCATCTGTCAGCTGCAAAAGGCCACCTACTGGGATCTGCATGCATTATTCGCTGATACATCACAGTCCTAGACACTTGGGAAGTGTCCGACATGTGATCCAATACAACAATCAGCATAGTGGTCTTGATAATAATAATAATAATAATAATAATAATAATAATAATAATAATAAACCTTTATTTGTACTCTGCCTCCATCTACCTGAAGGGACTCGGGGTGGCATATAAACAATGACCATGATTATATAGTAGTAGTAGTAGTAGTAGTAGTAGTAGTAGTAGTAGTAATAATAATAATAGATCTGTGCCATCTGCTTGTGTGTGTTCCAGAGCCGGCTAAAGAGGTCCCCAAGCTGGAGCGTCCAACCCCGCTGTTCGTCCCTTTGCAAAGCCTGGTAGAAGGGCCACCCAGCCCCACCGAGGGGGAGGAGGAGGAAGAGGGAGGTGGAGGTGGAGGAGGAGGGATCCCCATCCCATCATCGGGGCTCCTGCAAGTCGTGGAGCGAAGACGTGAGTACAGCCGGGAAGGAAAGGGAAATGGGAGTCCTTCCTTGGGGACATTGCATGGGAGCAAAAGGGACCTTAAAGGCCATCTGACTTGCAAAGGAGGGACATGTTCAAACACTTCAATCTCTAAACACAGGCAGAAGTTTTCACAGTCCCCATTCCTCCGTCTTATCCATAGAACCGCTGAGCAGTGTCTCCTCCTTGGAGGTCCATTTTGACCTGCTTGACCTGACAGAGCTGACTGACATGTCGGACCAAGAGCTGGCCGAGGTCTTTGCCGACTCAGATGAGGAGAACGTCCCCAATGAGCCCCATCCTGGTAAGTTGCAATCAAAGCCAACTTATATCCGAGCCCTTCCTCCTGGAATAGTTTAATTGCATGCATAGTTTGGACCAAAACCCGGAGCGGTTCCAAGTTTCAGTGGGCAGGAAGGATGTCTTGTGTTGTCAAGATTAAGCCTTCTTAACCTTGCGATTGGAAATGTGTTACATTTGAATATATTTCTTGTTTGTTCAAGTCACTCTTAAAACAGCATTTCTCAACCTGGGGGTCAGGACCCTTTGAGGGGGTTGCAAGGAGCTGTCAGAGAGGTCGCCAAAGACCATCAGAAAACAGTATTTTCTGTTGGTCATAAGGATTCTGTGTGCCAAGTTTGGTTCAATTCCATCTTTGGTGGAGTTCAGAATGCTCTTTGATTGTAGGTGAACTATAAATCCCAACAACTACAACTACGAAATGACATAATCAACCCCCCCCCCCCCCCAGTATTCAAATTTGGGCATATCGGGTATTTGTGCTAAATTTGGTCCAGTGAATGAAAATACATCCTGCATATCAGATATTTACATTACCATTCATAACAGTAGCAAAATTACAGTTGTGAAGTAGCAAGGAAAATAATGAGGAACTGTATTAAGGGGTCGCATCATTGGGAAGGTTGAGAAACCATGGGATAGAGGAACGGCAGTCCTACACACCAACCGTGCAGTGCTGGCCAGGCTCACCACTCCAGAACCCTCTTGATTCTGGGAGCTGTCGCCTTAAAAACAGAAACCTTGCCAGGCTTTTGAAGGAGTCGGGAAAGAGATTCAATTTCCCAGCTGTGCCATGATGGAAAACCCCCTCTGGACAGCTGCGGCTGGAGAGGAGTGGAAATATCATTGATCCCCCTGCCCTCCCCAGGCCTTGCCCATTTCTGTGGCAGATGATGATGATGATGCCTCCACTGACTGCTTAAGGCCATGGCTGGGGGTGTCACTTCCTCCCTTGAGAGTGGCGCCAAAAGGGGACAGTCGGGGAAAGGGCACGGGTAGCAGCTGCATCCCGGCGACAGACAAATGGATGGATGGGAAATGCAAAGCAGCCTTCCTGGAGAAGGAGAATGTGAGCAGAATTAAGGTGGAGTTAAAAGCAGAAGAGTCCTTGCTCTCGCAAAAAGACAGGAGAAAGGGAGGAAGGGAGGGAAGAAAAGAAAGGAAAAGGAGAGTGAACGGAATAACTTCCATTGGTCTAGTTCAGGCATGGGCAAACAGTCTAACTTGGGGAAGAGAAGGATGAAAGGGAATGGAGGTTTGGAGGAAAGAGAGAAAGAAGGAAAGACAAAAGGGAAAAGAAGGAAGGAAGGAAACAAGGGAGAAATTGAGAGTGTAAAGGAGGAAGGAAAGAGGGAAGGCAAGAAGGACGAAAGGGTGAAAGGGAAGGAAGGAGGGAGGGAGAAAGGGAGGTAAGGAAGGAGAAAGGGAAGGAGGAAGAAAAGAGAGAAGGAATGGAGGAAGAGAAGGATGAAAGGAAGGAAAGGTGAAAGGGAATTGAGAGAGGGAAGAGAGAATGAAGGAAAGACAAACAGCAAGGAAGGAAGGAAGGAAGGAAGGAGAAAGAGAGAGAGGAAAGAAGGGAGGAAAGAGGGAAGGAAGGAAGGACGAAAGGGTGGAAGAGAAGGAGGGAGGAAGGGAGGCAAGGAGTAGAGGGAGGGAAGGAGAAAGGAAAGTGAGAAGGGAGGAAGGGAAGGATGAAAGGAAGGAAAGGTGGAAGGGAACGGAGAGAGGGAAGAGAGAATGAAGGAAAGACAAACAGCAAGCAAGCAAGCAAGGAAGGAAGGAGGGAAGGAAGGAGGGAAGGACGAAAGGGTGGAAGAGAAGGAGGGAGGGAGGGAGGGAGGGAAGGAATAGAGAGAGGGAAGGAGAAAGGAAAGTGAGAAGGAAGGAAGGAAGGGAAGGATGAAAGGAAGGAAAGGTGGAAGGGAATGGAGAGAGGGAAGAGAGAATGAAGGAAAGACAAAAGGCAAGGAAAGAGAGAAGGCAGAAAGGAGGAAAGGGTGGAAGGGAAGGAGGGAGAAATAAGGAGGTAAGCAAGAAGAAAGGATAGGATGGTGAGAGAGAGGAGGGCCTGAGTTTGCCCACACCTGGTTAAGCATGGGCTAACTTTGGCCCTCTGGGTGGACTTCAACTCCCATCATTCCTAACACCCGATAGGCTATTATGAATTATGGGACTTGAACTCCAAAATATCTGGAGGGCCAAAGTTGGCCCATGCCTGATCTAGACACTGTTCTCCCATCACATTGGCTTTTCTAGCTGCCTTATAACACCGTTGACTCGCGTCCAAACTGTGCTTTGCTAGATCCCTTTCTCAAGGACTGCTGTCAAGCCAGGTGTCCTCTCTCCTGTTTTGCTCAGGCCTGCATCCGCACTCGCACCCCAATGCCCGCTCCGGCTACCTGCGCTCGCCTTCCTGGACCCGGACCAAAGGGGAACAAGGCCGGGAGAAGAAGCGCCTCAGCGACCCAGAGCTCCCGGTGGGTAAAGCAGAAGCCTTCCTGGCCCTGGAGAAGCCGGCCCAAGAATAGCCAGACCAAGGTGCCAACAGCCTTCCCTCTTGTTCTGCACCATGGGTGGCCGGTGGCCTTAAAAGATGTCCATTCGTCCATCTATTTGTCCATCCCAGCCACCTCCGGTGCTCTTCGGAGACCAAGGATCCTGTCCGTTGTGCAGAGACAGCCTCTCTCCCTCACTCCATACCATCACTCCTGAAATGTATTGTCCTCCTAATGTTGGAAAAGATGGGAGCAGCCTTGTTTTTCTTTCCTTTTCTGCACTTTTGAGCCTTTCTGAATATGTGAATAATATTTGGGGGGAAAGCAGGCACTTGGCCCGAGAAGGATGTATGCTTTAATCTGGAGCAATATCGGAGTTGCCCTCGAGACGGAAGCGATCAGAAGCACCGGAGGAGGGCAGCACAAGATGGGTGGACATTTCCTTGTCTCCTCCGTCATACTTTTGCTTGGAGATTCCTGGGACGTCTCCCAAGGAGTCCCAACGTACCAAAGGAACTAGGAGGAAGACCTAAAAGCACTGTTTCCCGCACTTGTGTCTCTGAAAAAGCACACCCTCTTCTTCCCAGTGGCCTTAACTTTCTGCTTGTTGCTCCAGGAACTTGGCACACGCTGCATTGCATTGCCAACCTTCAAGCCAAGCTATCATCCACTATAGAACGGATCCATGCTGGCCTCCAACCGGGAATGTCCCCATTTTGACGAAGGTTGACACCAGAAGCCCAGTTTCCCAGTGGGGCATGGAGATGGCAAGCCATGCCATAGGCAGCTCCAGTCCTCCCATGATGTTTTCCAGCAGAAAGTGACAGTAGGGCTAAACAGGGATGCTGTCACGAAGGGGACAGATCCCTCCATTGGAACAAAACTTGGGCACTCAACCAATGCAAGAGCAAAAGGCAAGTCCTTTCTTCCCGGCTGCTCTGGGATCAGGAAGGTGGACAACTGGAGGAGGGGTGTCCACTAAGGTCTTTTCCCCTCTCTAAAGTCCCCATTCCTCCCCAGGTTTACGCATCACACAGCTCAGAGATATCCACATGCCACATCACTGACTGTTTTGGTCATTGCCATTTTGGAACTGGCCTCGATCAGCTTTCCCACCAGAGCCTGTTTTGGTCTCCTCAAGATGATACAGAAACAGCCCCTTGCTGCCCCATTTCTCTTCCTCTCCTCAGTTTGTTCCGCAATTTGTACTATTTGCCTTGAAATCCAGATGGTCCGGTTGCTCACTGTGCTTCTGCTGAAGGAGAACTGGAGACTTTGGGTCTGGCAATGGAGGATCTCATTTGGGATGCTGTCGTCAGCCAGACCTTCGAACCAGGGGCCCATATTGACCTCCCCTGAAATACTGGCCTCAGACAAATAATGGCACAGTCCAACCCCTTTGAAGTTCCTTCCAATGAGAGTTATAATTCCCATACCATATGCTTGTGGTGGTGATGGAGAACTACATTCATTTGCAGCAAAAGCTGGGTATCCTGTGCCAAATTGACCAGAGGGGTTTGCCACCAGTTTGTCCTGCACCTCCTTCTTTGGAGGTTTTCAAACTGAGGCAGGATGACTATTTTCCAGGAGTGCTTTGATTGTGTCTTCCTGCCTGGCAGAAGGGTTTGGAATGGATGGCCTTTGGGGATTCCTTCCAAGTGCTGGGACTGTGGTGGAGTCTCCGTCTCTAGAGATGCTTTGGATGTGATTTTCCTGCTTCTTGGCAGAAGGGGTTGGACTGGAAGGCCCACCAGGTCTCTTCCAACTCTATGGTTCTTTGAGGCCAGAATACCATCTGTTGGGAGTGCTTTGATTGTGTCTTACTGCATCACAAAACAGGGTTGGACTGGATGGCCTTTGGAAGTCCTTTCCAACTCTACGATTCCTATCCTCCATTTCTTTCTTTGCCATTTCCATCACCCAGCAACCTTCCTCCTTTGAAAAAACCATTGGCATCTTGAATATGACAGAGGAGGAACCCTTAGGGGACGAAGAGAGGCAGATTCTTCTCCTTCCCCTCTTTACATTCCCCAGCACTTCCATTTTGGGGCTCCCATCGTTGAACGTCCTGGAGATCACATCCTATTACGACTGAAGCACATTTTGCACAACTAATGCCACATGTCACAGGCAGACAGATAAGCATCTGCTGATCAGGATACAAATCCATTAGCGCCACCAGCTGAAGTGGAAATGGGATTGTGACACCCGAGCCATTTGCAGAAAGGGGAAAAGGAGCCAGGTGCGAAGGGCAGCTGCTTCCCGAACAAATCTTTCCCGAAATGCAGCTGTTTGCAGGGATCCTGCCCAGCGCCACTTCCTCCCAGTGTGGTTGGCGCTCAGATGTCGCAAAGCCACTGATCCCAAACCCCTTTGAGCCACTCAAGCCAGGTCCCTTGGGCTTCAGGCAGAGGAAACCTCAGAACAGATTCGGAAGGAGGAATCACATAAGCGACCGCAGGGACGTTTTGCTCACAGTTAGAATTACCGAAGCGAAAAGAGAGGAACAGGCCATGGCTCCAGAGGTGAGACGTCCTTCCCTGATGGCTTGCCTTCATCTCCCTCGTCTCTACAAAACATTTCCAAAAGAACACAGATTCCCAGGTGGAGAGAAACTTGAGAGGCGTCAGGTTTTCAGACTTTTGTTGCTTGGAGAGGGATGGGTCTTTCTGCCAAAGCACAATTCCCAATGCATATCTTTGGGGACAAAGGCAGGGCCCATGACCAAGCTGGCACACGTTTTCTGACCCTAAAAGCAGTGGAAATGCCACAAAAATATGCTATTTGTGGTCAGCATAAGAAGTTATTCATGGCTTCCTCCCCTCTCTCGTACAAGAAGGCCATTCAAGAGGGGCTCAATGAGGTGGAAGAAGGGATTTCTCAGTGCCAAAGCAAGATCACCTTCTATAGACTAAGAAGGACTAGGAGCCATCTATCTATGAGTGCCATGGCTGTGTTGTTCAGAACAGGATGCTTCTCAGGAGGGAAACTGCTGCTCCTTCCTCTGTTGCATTCAGTGCACCCCTGAACTGTATTTATCTGGGTGCAGATGAACTTTTCCCAAGTGAAGAGAGAGGCGAGGAAGGAGCCAGACCCCAGAAAACTGTGCTGCTACCCCCTTTGGAAACAGATGTCCAAAACGGCACCAATAAAGCTCTGGGAAAACCTAAGTCTGTGTGACCCTTTGGCTTAGAAAGGTCCCTCTCTTGCTCAGGATACGGGGCCGGGCTAGTTCTGCAAGGGATGCGGAGGTCAAATCGTAGTAGAAAGATCAGTAGAGTGTTCCCTCGCTATTTCACAGTTCACTTTTCACTGACTTGCTGTTTTGCGGTTTTCCTTCCTTGCTACTCACCGGGCCAAGTCCAGGTGGCCAGGCTCCTGTTTCTGCCGCTGCTTCTGCCTTTGCTGCCTTTCCTCCCTCACTCACTCGCTACTCACCAGGCCGGGTCTTGGTGGCAGAACCAGGACTCGACCCGGTGAGTAGTGAGTGGGGGAGGGGGAGTGAGCGAGAAGGGTGGCAACGGCAGCAGCGGCTGCAGAAGCAGGAGCCTGGCTGATTCTACCAGGATGGCTCAAAAAATGAGGGAGATAGAAGTCCCTCAAATTTCCCCACTGACAGTGATGTTTTCCCTATTGCACATGCGCGACCACCATTAACGAAGTACTTACGAAGATTCATAAGTTTCATTAGTTCCAAAATTTTGACCACCAAATTTTTGGAAAGACTTTAGAAACAAAGTGCCAGAAACCCCTTCAAATCCAGGGAGAGTGGGTTGAGCTCCCTCTGTCAGCTCCAGCTTCTCATGCAGGGACATGAGAGAAGCCTCCCACAAGGATGGTAAAATATCAAACATCCAGGCGTCTCCTGGGCAACGTCCTTGCAGGCAGCCAATTCTATTACACCAGAAGCGACTTGCAGTTTCTCAAGTTGCTCATGACACTGCTCAACCCAAAAATAGATAGTGATGCATCCCCCCAATTAGTACCTTACAGATAAAGTTGGCATCTTCACCTCCTGTTGTAACACTGAAAATTTAAAGATTTGTTCCATATTCTCCACGAGACAACATCACCTTTTATACCAATCTGCATAAAAATAAGAGAGAGGGAGAGAGTTCTTCCTTTTGCAAATGGTAGACTTTACTTTTTGGGGAGGAAAGAATGCCTGAATGCGACTGACACAATATTTACACAGGACTAAATTTGAAGAAAGTGTGCAAATAATGAAAAGGGGGAGGAAGCCCTGTGTGAGAGACATAGAAAAACAGGGCAATGTGTTGGCAATAGATTCCGCTAAAACAATGTTTTTCAACCTGGGGGTTGGGACCCCTGGGTGGGTCGCAAGGGGGTGTCAGAGGGGTCGCCAAAGACCATCAGGAAACAGTGTTTTCTGTTGGTCATGGGGTTCTGTGTGGGAAGTTTGGACCAATTCTATCGTTGGTGAGGTTCAGAATGCTCACTGATTGCCTATTTTCCCCAAACTCCACCAGTGTTCATATTTGGGCATATTGAGTTTGGTCCAGATCTCTGGATGTAGGTGAACTACAACTTCAAAACTCAAGGTAAATGCCCATCAAACCTTCCAGTATTTTCTGTTGGTCATGGGAGTTCTGTGTGCCAAGGTTGGTTCAATTCCATCACTGATGGTGTTCAGAATGCTTTTTGATTGTAGGTGAACTATAAATCTCAGCAACTACAACTCCCAAATGACAAAATCAATCCCCCCCTCCTCCCGACACACATACCAGTATTCAAATTTGGGCATATTGGGTATTTGTGCCAAATTTGGTCCAGTGAATGAAAATACATCCTGCATATCAGATATTTACATTATGATTCGTAACAGTAGCAAAATTAGAGTTATGAAGTAGCAATGAACATAATTTTATGGTTGGGGGTCACCACAACATGAGGAACTGTATTAAGGGGTCACAGCAATAGGAAGGTTGAGAAACACTGCTCTAAAAGAGCTGCCTAAATACTCTAAAGGTACCAGATTCCTTCTGGTCTTGCAAGTTAAGCAGGTCCAGCCCTGGTTTGTACTTGGATGAGGCTCATCAACCAATCCCAGGTGCTTTAGGCTCTTATTTCAGAGGAAGGAACTGGAAAAGCTATATCTGGGTATTCCTTGCCTAAGAAAAGCCTGTGAAATTTGTATGTTCATGAGTGACATGAAGGCACATGCACAAGATTGGACTTGGTCTCTTTTCCTCAAGTACTGCAGACTGGAACTTCCAGAGAATGGGGAAATGTGGGTTCCTGGAAAGGAATAAAAGGTAGCCAGGATCCCCCCTTTAGATCCCTGAATGGCAGGAGGTTGGATTAAGTGTTCCATGTGGTCCCTTCCAACTCTATTATTTTATGTTTCTATGGTTCTATGAATGCAGCAGGCAATGCCTTTCCAAAGGCTGACAGAGTTCTGCTGAGTCACTACACTATTTTTCTGCCGAATCACTGGTATGGAAGCGAGCTGGACTTCTGGCAGGCCAGGCCCCTCCAAATGGCCACAATCCAAGTCAGGAAGAGGTAGGTGGCCAAAAAGGTCTAGGAGACAAAAAACGGCGAAGGGAGCAGCATAGATTTCGTTCTGGGGAATGAAGATTTGAGAGCTTACACCAGGAGCCCTCAAATTGTGGCCCTCCAGCTGTTTGGGCCTCCAACTCCCAGAAGCTCTAACAAGCTTGCTCAATTATCAGATCCATCATTGTTTCAGTCCACGGTGCTCTCTTGATGTAGATGAACTACAACTCCAAAACTCAAGGTCAAGGCCCACCAAACCCTTCCAGTATTTTCTGATGGTCATGGGAGTTTTGTGTGCCGAGTATGGTTCAATTCCATTGTTGGTGGAGTTCAGAATGCTCTTTGATTGGAGGTGAACCATAAATCCCAGGAACTACAACTCCCAAATGTCAAGGTCTATTTTCCCCAAACTCCACCAGTGTTCACATTTGGGCATATTGAGTATTCATGCCAAGTTTGGTCCAGTGAATGAAAATCCATCCTGCATATCAGATATTTACATTACGATTCATAACAGTAGCAAGATTAGAGTTATGAAGTAGCAACTAAAATAATTTCATGGTTGGGAGTCACCACAACATGAGGAATTGTATTAAGGGGTTGCAGCATTAGGAAGGTTGAGAAACACTGGACTAGATGGTCCCTGGGGTCCCTCTGTACTTTTTGTGTTTCCTAATTCTGCATCTTTGAGGTAATGCCCTTGTGGTCTCTCTTCCACTTCTGTGGGCCTATTATTCTACGTCTATGAGCATTGTGTGATTGTCATGCTAAGAGCAGCTGCTGCTAGAACCCGCTGGGCCACATCATGTCAAGTAGCACCCATTGAAATAGCACCAGTGATGGCCCCCTCCCTACCTGTGCTCATCCCTTGCATGTTCCTGCAAAAAGAAATATTCAGCAGCATCACCACAGAAGAGATCCCATAAGGTGTGTCCACTCCCTGGTTTGGCTTCAAAGGGCCCATCACTTGTATACTTTTGAGTGTAGGTTGAGGCTGATGGGCAGAAAAGTACCTACAGCGAAGGCACTGAGTCCATAGGGAACCCAAAGTCCCAAAGAGGAGGAACAGTGTCATAGAAGAGCATGCCATTGGCTGTACTTCTTCCCCCTGAGTACACTAAGTAATGAGTAAACCAGTCTGCTGCAGGGAGAGGCACCTGCTTTTCCACTTCCATCACCATATTTGCATATTTGCAGGAAAAGGCCTTCAAGTCGTTGCTCGATTCAAGAGAAACCCGACAGCAAAGGAGGAAGTGTTTTGGGCCAACTTCTGATCAACCCATCAAGGCATCCTTTGTACCTGAGGTCAAGGCTTGGAGAAGACAGGCTCCAATGCTCCATACCAACAATAGGACCTTTTTGGCTCTACGAGGCCTTCTCCTGGCTCCTCTGTCCTTGGCCCTCCTCTTGCTCCTCCTCCTCTTCCTCCTTCCGCTGGTGGTTCCAATCCTTCAATCCTTCGGGAAGGGAGGTGTCTTCCTCTAGGCTCCCGGTTCCCTCCACAAACTCTTCGTAGGTGGACTTCTCCGCAAAGGGCCTTGGGCCCAGCAGCTCCACCATGTCGGCTTTCTCCAGCACCTCCTTCTCCAGGAGACGCTTCCCGACCTGCCAGGAAGAAGAAAACAGTCGCTCAATAGGTTGCTGTGAGTTTTCTGGGCGGTATGGCCATGTTCCAGAAGCATTCTCTCCTGACATTTCGCCTAATACTGGTAGACCACTCTAACAACCACCATATCAGACTACACAGAGAATATATAAGAAACACAGATATCTATTGCTAAGATACACAAAGTATTATATTATTGTTGTTGAAACTTCAAATACAGTGTCATATGACAGGTTTATTACTTATATACGCAATATAGAGGAACAGCTTCTCTTTGTCATGGATAAATGTCTATATTCATGTAGATAAACATAATAGACCAATCTGTCTGATGATTTAAAGCAGGGGTCCTCAAACTAAGGCCCAGGGGCCGAATATGGCTCTCCAAGGTCATTTACCGGGCCCTCGCTCAGGGTCAACCTAAGTCTGAAATGACTTGAAAGCACACAACAACAACAACAACAACAACAAAACAATCCTATCTCATCAGCCAAAACACGGTGGCACAGTGGGTTAAACCCCTGTGCCGGCAGGACTGAACACCGACAGATTGCAGGTTCGAATCCGGGGAGAGGCGGATGAGCTCCCTCTATCAGCTCCAGCTCTTCATGTGGGAACATGAAAGAAGCCTCCCACAAGGATGATAAAACATCAAATCATCCGGGCGTCCCCTGGGCCACGTCCTTGCAGACGGCCAATTCTCTCACACCAAAAGCGACTTGCAGTTTCTCAAGTCGCTACTGACACGACAAAAAAAAAAAAAAAAAGCCAAAAGCAGGCCCACACTTCTCATTGAAATACTAATAAGTTTATATTTGTTAAAATTGTTCTTCATTTTAATTATTGTATTGTTTTAAAGTGTTTTTGCACTACAAATAAGATATGTGCCAAGTTCATAGGAATTAATTCATAATTTTTTTCAAATTATAATCCAGCCCTCCAACAGTTTGAGGGACTGTGACCTGGCCCTCTGTTTAAAAAGTTTGAGGAGCCCTGATTTAAAGAGACACTTGTAGATGTTTCAAAGGACTATTTGTAGCATCCAAGGTTGTGTCAGAGAAGAATTCTACACGGTGACAAGGTTACAACAAGGTATCCTGGGTGTAGTTCCTTGTTTCGGTGTTGGTGATAAAAACACCTTCTTCAGGTAATGAATTCTGCTTAATATATGAACAGGAGACAAGTCTCTGGTACTACAATTACATGTATGAAAAGAACAACAATATACATAAAATAGATATGCTATAGCAACCCTATTGTTATATCAACATTAAACTAATACATAACTAATACAAGATAGTCAAAGTAATGTTCACATGACTTACATTTCATTAAGTAATCACAGGCTTTGCTGCAAGAGATTCTGTTGCGAGAAAATGCTCTTAATCCTAGTAGACTTTAAATATATGTTACAGATACCACAGACATATAAACCCCATTCTCCTAGTTTTCAACAGACCTCATAACCTCTGAAGATGCCTGCTGTAGGTGCAGGAGAAATGTCAGGAGAGAATGCTTCTGGAACATGGCTAGACAGCCTGGAAAACTCACAATAACCCAAGGATTTCAGCCATGAAAGCCTTAGACAATACATAGTTGCTCAATGGGCAGAATGTAAATCAAGGGAAGAATAAATGTGGACTGCCGTGGAGCTCCAGGGATAGAAAATGTGGGACAAAGCACCTTCGTGTAACTATCGCCCATTTAGAAAGGAAATCCAATTTGGAGAGAGAGAAGGGACAGTTCCCAGGAGAGACAGTTATATTTAAGCTGTCAAGGGTGTAGTTCTGTGCCCTTCATTGCTTACAGGCACTCTTATTGTCCCATTTTCTCCCTTTTGGAATAGGGAAGGCAACCAGCTGGCAACACTGACCGGTGGTGCCTCTGTTTGAAATCTGGGGCATGTCCAATGGAAATTTTCACCCTCATACCTTTTCCACCTGGTCCCTGCATCGTGTCAGGAGGGCCTGGGTCTTTTCATAGGCTGCCGTGATCAAAGAGCGGACTTCCTCATCGATCAGCTCTGCCGTGGCTTCACTGTACGGCTTCTCGGGAGTCAGGTCGCCTTGATGCGGGGGGTCGAAGGAGACCTGTCCCAGTCTCTCACTCATGCCAAACTGCACCACCTAAGGAGGAGAAGGAGGAAGAAGAGATGCAGGAAGAGGAGGGGAAGGAGGAGGAAGAGGAGATGGAGGGAGAGAAGGAAGAGAGGGGGAGGAAGATGAGATGGAGGAAAGGGAGGAGAAAGAGAAGGAGGAAGAGGACATGGAGCCAGAAGAGGAGGAGAAGGAGGACAAAGATGAGATGGAGGAAGAAAAGATGAAGGAAGAGGAGGAGAAGGGGGGAAGAGGAGGAAAAGGAAATGGAGGAAGAAGAGATGGAGGAAGAGATGCAGGAGGATGAGGAGAAGGAAGAGAAGGAGGAAGAGGAGGAAGATATGGGGGAAGAAGAGATGAAGAGGAGAAGGGGGAGGAAGAGGAGATGGAGGAAGAAGAGATGGATGATTGTGTCTTCCTGCCTGGCAGGAAGGGTGGCCTTGGAGATTCCCTCGAAGTGCTGGGACTGGGATGGAGTCCCCATCTCTAGAGATCTTTGAGGCCAGATCGCAATCTGCCAGGAGTGCTTTGATTGTGTCTTACTGAATCACAGAGCGGGGTTGGACTGGATGGGCTTTGGGAGCTCCTTCTAACTCTATGACTCTGTCCTGCCTTTCTTCGCCATCTCTATCACCCAGCAATCTTCCTCCATTGAAATACCATTGGTATCTTTAGAATGACAGAGAAGGAAGAACCCTTAGGGCAGGAAAAGAGGCAGAGAATGGCCACCTGTCGGGAGGGCTTTGATTGTGTCTTCCTGCCTGTCAGGAAGGGATTGGACCAGACTCTAGGATTCTATGCTCTGTGTCTCTCGTATGTCCCCCTGCACCCTGTGCCCAGCTGTGCCTTTCTCCCCCTGTATGGGTAGCCATGTGAGTCTTTCTTCCTGTCCTTTACCTGGGCGTAGGCACTCTGGGTCACCTTCCGAAGGTCGTCCTGGGCCCCGGTGGTGATCCGCCCGAAGAAGAGCTGCTCGGCCACGCGGCCTCCCAGCATCATGCACATCCGGTCGAAGAGTTGCTCCCGGGTGTAGAGGAATTGCTCCCGGGGCAGGTATTGCGCATAGCCTAGGCCCCTCCCTCGGGGGATGATAGACACCTGTCGGGAAGAAGAAGCCCAGATGAATAGTAATGAGAGTAGTACTCATGTCCTGGGGAAAGTGGATGCAAAGCCCCAAAGAGACTTTGGAAAGAACCCCCTGCTCTCCCAAAAACTTGCTTCTGGAATACAGTTTCCAGAATCCTCCCCGAGGAAGAGGGATACTGGGATTTTTAGTGTCAGAAATATTAAAAATTAACTAGGTATTTTTGATTACAAAATGTGAGTCTAGCACTGAAAGAGTGAGTATGTTGAAGCCTGTTAGAGTCAGTGGACCAAAGCTAGTGTCGTCCTGAGGGGAGTGAGTAGGCCGAAGCCTGTTGGAGTCAGTGGGCCAAGCTAGTGTCGTCCTGAGGGGAGTGAGTAAACCAAAGCCTGTTGGAGTCAGTGGGCCAAAGCTAGGGTCGTCCTGAGGGGAGTGAGTAGGCCGAAGCCTGTTAGAATCAGTGGGCCAAAGCTAGTGTCGTCCTGCGGAGAGTGAGTAGGCCGAAGCCTGTTGGAGTTAGTGGGCCAAAGCTAGCGTCATCCTGAAATATAAAGGCTGTTGTATGTACTGTGTGAAACTCCTGTGAAACTTCGGTCTGAGAGGAGGCTCTGTGAAAGCGAAGCTTTTATCTGCATAAGAATGAGGCCCAACGTGGAAGCAAACAAGGAAGTATAAAGGACTTTATTTACGTTGTTGAAACCTTTTTATTGTAACCAGTGCAACTATATTATTTTATTACAAAGAAGAGCCTCCTATGGAAGAGATAATATTGGTCTGTGTGTTTCTGTTCTTTTTATCACTTTGGGCTACTGGTGCTGGGTCACGCTGCTGCTAATAAATTACTCTGGTGTACATTTATGGGAGGGTCTTTTACATGTAGTACCACAAAAAGGTATTCAGAGGTGTGCCGATCCTGCATAACGTAATTCTGCTGAGTACGAGTCCCAGAATTGAATGTGCTTTTCCTGCATGGCAGGCAATTGGACTAGATGGCCCATGTGATCTCTTCCAACTCTATGATTGTATATAATTCACTAGACAGTTGTTGTTATCTCTGGGGAAAGGGGGTGAAAACGCACCTTGAGCAAGGGGTCTGCATGCTCCAAGAACCACCCAACCACGGCATGTCCTGCCTCGTGGTATGCCACCACTGCCTTCTCATTCGGCTGCAGAATCTGAGTCTTCTTCTCAAGCCCTAAATTAAAAAAAACAACTTTATTTATACCCCGCCACCATCTCCCCAAGGGACTTGGAGCGGCTTACATGAGGCCAAGTCCAACAGTACATCAATAAACAAAAGCAATAAACAAAAACAATAAATACAATACAATTAATATAAATCACATATAAACAGTAAACAGTAATACACAAGGATTTAAAAACCTGAAGAGATAAAAGGCAGAAAGAAGTCAGGGCAAAGCTGAGAGGAAGGGAGTCTTTCTTATCCACCACAGAACCACTGCAAAACATGTACAAACTGCCCTATTTCCTCATTGCAAAGCCCACTCATTTCACCAGTTTGGGATCACTGCACCTTGGCCCTCCTGTCCCTGCTCTCCAATAGTAAGGCAGCAAACATCTTGGGATGTAGACTGACGTTTGGAAGGAAAGGGAGGATAGGGAACTTTGTGCCCTGCCTCATTCTGCTGCATGATCTTTTATGGAAGAGTATGGCAGACCAGGGAAAAGACCCAAGTTCTATTGAGGTCAATATCCTGTTTGCCCAGACCCAAAGTCTTCTGGGAAGGACATGAAAATAGTCATTAAAGCTACCAAAAAGAGGAAGAGGACATTTAATAGAAGATCCGTGAGGAAAACAATGGGTCAATGCCAATAGTCTATTTATTTATATATTATTTATTTCCTATATTTATATCCCGCCCTTCTCCCCCCATAGGGGAGACTTAATAGTGATTATTTAGTTTTCCCAATGTTTTGAACTTCACCTCCCAGAATTTATCAGCATTGTCCTTCTGCGTGTTGAACTACAAAACAGCAGGAGACACAAAGACTCAGGAATCCCTGGCTTTGACACACTGCTTATTTTGGACTGTGACTCCCACAATTCCCATGCTAGTGCTGTTGCACTCTGGGAGTTGTAATGCAATACAAGACAGTTTCTAAGTTCTGCTTGTTTTAGGAACCCTGAGAACTTCCTAATCATTTATTTATTTATTTACAGTATTTATATTCCGCCCTTCTAACCCCACATGGGACTCTGGGTGGATTACCATGTACACATACATGGCAAACTTTCAATGTCATAGACACACAACACATATGGACAGACAGTCAGCGGCTATTTAACATTCCAATTTTCTGGCCACCAGGGGAGCTGTCATTTCACCGTCCATCTGCGACACTGATGAAGTACTTTCTGCATTCCCCGCATGCTTTTGCTGGAGATTTGGCCTCGTAAATTTGTTAAATTAGCCTCCCCGCACATAGGTGGTACCTAAATTTCCTACTTGACAGATGCAACTGTCTTTTGGTTTGCAAAGGTCAACAACAAGCTACACAAATTGGCCGGAAGCTCACTCTGACCCGGGCTGGCTTCGAACTCATGACCTTTCGGTCAGTAGTAATCTTAATGCAGCTGACTCCCAGCCAGCTGCGCCACAATCCTGGTGGCCAAAGTTCTCTCACACCCAAGCAAGACATTGCTGGACAGCTACTCTAATCAGTCCGTGTGTAGTAGTCCAACCAAAAAACAATAAATGCACAATGCCCAAGGCTTCCTTGCTTCTAATTCCAGCCTCACCCCCAATGACTCTCTCGATGGCCTGCTCAAAGTGCTTCTCATCCACAGTGGGGCTGGCGTGTCGCGCGGCAATCAAGGCAGCCTCGTTGCACACATTGGCGATATCAGCCCCTAGAGAGAGAGAGAAGGGAGAATAATAATAATAGAATAATAGAAAAGAATAATAGCCCGAAAAAACCTACAACAACCCAGAAGAATAATCCTTTGCAAAGGCTCAGGGATGTCTGCCACTATGTAAAAACTTGGGTGTACTTTTGTTCTGGCTCTTACTTCCTTATAATTGGGGAAACCATCAGTGTGCAGACCATAGGCTGGATGTATCTGTTGTGTTTCATCCCTGGACTGCACAAGTCTCTTGTGTCATCAAGTCTCCAGTCCCCAATGAGTAGCTAGACCAGAGATAGGATTAGGCTGAGGAATTCTTCCCCCACATTCCTATGCATGTTTTCCCCAGAAAGGGCTTTGCCTTTCCTTCTCCTCCTTGCCACTGTCTCCTCTCCCTTTGAAGATGCAGCAATGGAATCTCTGTGAGGGAACTTCCTTTTTAAAGGTATTTTTATTGCCCTGGGCTTGGCCATGTGGCAATTCGCCACCATTGTCTCTTCTGCCTTTCCTTCCTTCCAGTAAGGATGCAAATTTTGCGTCTCTCTCTTTAGGCAAAATATAGCTGCATGGATTTCTTTTTAACTTTTTTACCTTTTACTTTTTACAGAATGTGAGACGTAGTAAGCTAGTGAGCTCCAAGACCGTTTCTATCTAGAATGTATTTCTTTTACTTCAATCAATATTCTGAACCTCAAAATATTTATTTTGCAATCCTGATCCATCCTAAGATATAGAAGCTTATCCTAGGCTCATTACATGTGCGTTTCTGCTGGTTATGAAGTTTGCTTATGGTACTCTGCTACATTTATGGTGGAATCACCGGTGGCGCAGTGGGTTAAACCCCTGTGCCAGCAGGACTGAAGACCGACAGGTTGCAGGTTCGAATATGGGGATAGGCGGATGAGCTCCCTCTATCAGCTCCAGCTCCTCATGTGGGGACATGAGAGAAGCCTCCCACAAGGATGATAAAAACATCAATTCATCTGGGCGTCCCCTGGGCAACGTCCTTGCAGACGGCCAATTCTCTCATACCAGAAGCGACTTGCAGTTTCTCAAGTTGCTCCTGACATTAAAAAACAAACCCAATTGAGGGGTTTTTTTTAGCCTATCAGCTCAGATTCCCCAACAGTATCCCCCAGGACTGTTTTTGTAGGCCTTAAGAGCAAGAGATCATTAATCAGCTCATATCTTCTAATTTTTATAAACTCCTCTCTTTGTCTAAACTGACCAAGAAATACCCCCAAAAGTCGGATTTGGCCATGGTGGTCCACGCCTTAGTTATCTGTAGACTAGACTATTGCAATGCGCTCTACGTGGGGCTGCCCTTGAAGACGGCCCAGAAATTTCAACTGGTCCAACGTGCGGCAGCCAGACTACCAACTGGTGCAAATTACAGGGAGCGGTCAACCCCCGTTTAAGGAGCTCCATTGGTTGCTGTTTATTTTCCAGTCCCAATTCAAGGTGCAGGTTCTTACCTACAAAACCCTGAACAGTTTGGGACCCGCCTACCTTTGTGACCGCATTTCCTTTTACGAACCTACATGATCACTTCGATCTTCCAGAGAGGCCCTTCTCTCGCTCCCGCCCCCATTGCAAGTGCAACTTGTGGGGACGAGGAAGAGGGCCTTCTCTGTGGTGGCTCCTCGGCTCTGGAACTCACCCCCCAGAGAAATTAGGCAAGTTCCTACCCTGGCAGTCTTTAGGAAGAGCTGAAAACTTGGTTGTTCCAGTGTGCCTTCAATGACCGAATGAACAATAATCCCTGACCAAACATTGCAAAAATGCCATCAAAAGCACTTTATTTACTTGCTAGTGCAATTAATCCCTATTTTCATCCTCCTGTCCAGATACATTACATTGCTCTCTCACCCAGTGTTTTTAAACTTTTAATCTTTGCAACCAGCCCTGCCCACTGTGATCATTTTTTTGGGGGTTCAATTTTTGTGATTTTATATTGTTTGTTGTGCTTATTTATATTGTTTCTTGCATTTTTTTCTTTATATTTTACTGTTGTATTCCTATGTTGTATATTTGTATTGCTGTATTGTTGGGCTTGGCCTCATGTAAGCGGCCCCGAGTCCCCTTGGGGGGATGGTGGTGGGGTATAAATAAAATTTTCTTCTTATTGTTAAAAATATGACAAAAGTGCTCCCATAACCTATTAGGAACAAAATGATATGTGTGTGAATTGAGTGAGGGGGGCAACAGGGCTGGTATGGCCTTCCATGGTCTGCTGGGGGTTCATGTATGATGATGATGATGCTGTTGATGCCCACCTCTCTTTGTGGCTCGACAATTGTCCACCACCGCCTCATAGATTCTTACCTGGATGCCTCACCTATTGGCTAATAATACTATCATATATCAGTGGACATTTCGCTTAGAAAAGTGACTTTCTTCCCCTGGAAACCAAGTCCCACAATCCCCTGAAATTCCTCCAGGCCTGACCTGTGAATCCGGGCGTCCGGGCAGCCATCTTCCTAGCCAGAGCGTCTCGGCTGATACCCGCATCCAGCCTGAGAGGTCGGAGGTGGACTTTGAAGATAGCTGCTCTGCCTTTGATGTCTGGTGGGCCTGGTTGGCAAGAGAAGGAGAGTCAGGGAAGTGAATCCTCAGAAACAGAGAAAGAGAGGATCAACATGGCAGATCCCGAATATCCAGGTTTTGGAGGAGTTATCCCGAATATCCAGGTTTTGGAGGAGTTAAATAAAATACTGCTCCTGTTATGTGCCACCAGACTAAAAAAAGTGAAAAAAGGTTAAGAGATGTTGGGCGAGCAGAGTAATTTATTAGCAGCAGCATGATCACAGCACCAGTAGCCCAAAGTGATAAAAAGAACACAAACACACAGAACAATGCATTATCTTCCTTAGCAGGCTTTTCTTTGTAGTAAAATAATATGGTTGCAATATTTACAAGAACAAGGTTTCCCCAACACAAATAAAGTCCTTTCTACTTCCTTCTTTGCTTCCATGCCGGGCTTCTTTCTTATGCAGATAAACAGCTTCGCTCTGGCAGAGCCTCCTCTCATAATGAAGTTACAAAGGAGCTTCACACAGTAGCTTTAACACAACAGGTCTTCACACTGGAGCTTCATCCAGCAGCTTAACACACATTGCCTTCAATCTGGGGCATCCTCTCACCGAGGCTTCTCACACCAGGTCTTCTCATAGTCTGAAGCCTTCTCACAGACTAAGGAGTACCTCACACTGTGAGGCCTTCTCACAGACTGAGACCTTTCTCCCACTGAGGCAAACTAACACAGAGGCCTACTAAGCTACAGTCACACTTGCTATTATAGAACTGCTGCTTTTGCTGAGTCATTGCATCCATTTAACCCTTTCAGTGCTTTCAGTACATGTTTGTAATTAAAAAATACCTAGCTAACTTTTAAGATTTCTTACAAGAGAGCCTGACAATAAAGAATAGGTTAAGCAGGATATGGACAATCACTCTCCCGGAGAACTTAAGGTTAGCAAAAAGAGAATCCAAAGAAGATCTCTTTGATAATACAACAGGGAAACCGCTGATTAGTTTCATGTGTAAAAGCCATGGTGGATTTAAACCACTAAACATCCAAGAAAGATTGTGTTTGAGCCATTAAGAAAACACACTACAATATGTCACAGAGAAAATGAGAATAATGTAGAAGTAATATTATTTATTTACTTTGCTTATATACCGCTGTATCTCAAGCCCGAAGGCGACTCACAGCGGTTCACAAACAGTAGAAACAGTAGAAACAGCAGTGGTTCCATACAACATATAACAATTGACTTAACACATTATCCATAAATGACCAATAAGCAATTACAATGCACAATTATTACAAAAAACAACCGTACCCAATCTTCTCATCATCCAAGCGTAGTCCAGATTAGTCGTCCATTGTTCCATTCCTATGTTCCATTACCAGATTGTACCAAATTACTCAAACGCCTGCACAAACATCCAGGTCTTCACCTTTTTGCGGAATACCATTAGAGATGGTGCTAGTCTAATGTCCGTAGGAAGGGCGTTCCACAGCCGAGGAGCCACCACCGAGAAGGCCCTATCTCTCGTCCCCGCCAGCCGAGCTTGAGAAGCAGGCGGGATCGAGAGCAGGGTCTCCCCGGAAGATCTCAAAGTCCTGGTGGGTTCATAGGCAGAGATGCGGTCAGATAGGTATCTTGGGCCAGAACCGTTTAGGGCTTTAAAGGCCAACGCCAGCACTTTGAATTCAGCCCGGTAGCAGATCGGTAGCCAGTGGAGTTGGCGCAACAGGGGGGTTGTATGCTCCCTGCGCTCCGCTCCTGTTAAAATCATGGCTGCCGAGCGTTGGACTAGTTGGAGCTTCCGAGCTGTCTTCAAAGGCAACCCCACATAGAGAGCGTTGCAGTAGTCTAAACGGGATGTAACCAGAGCGTGGACTACCGTGGCCAAGTCAGACTTCCCAAGGTACGGGCGCAGCTGGCGCACAAGCTTTAGCTGTGCAAATGCTCCCCTGGTCACCGCCGAAACCTGGGGTTCCAGGCTCAGCGATGAGTCCAGGGTCACACCCAAGCTGCGAACCTGCATCTTCAGGGGGAGTGTGGCCCCATCCAACACAGGCTGTAACCCTATGCCCTGTTCGGCCTTGCGACTGACCAGGAGTACCTCTGTCTTGTCTGGATTCAATTTCAATTTGTTCGCCCTCATCCAGACCGTCACAGCGGCCAAGCACCGGTTCAGGACCTGGACAGCCTCCTTAGTAGCAGGTGGAAAGGAGTGACAGAGTTGGACATCATCTGCGTACAGATGACACCGTACCCTGAAACTCCGGATGATCTCCCCCAGCGGCTTCATGTAGATGTTAAACAACATGGGAAATATTGAGCCCTGAGGAACCCCACAAGACAATGGTTGTGGGGTTGAACAGGTTTCCCCCAACAACACCTTCTGAGATCGACCCTCCAGGAATGACCGGAGCCACTGCAAAACAGTTCCTCCAAGACCCATCCCCGCGAGGCGTCCCAGAAGGATACCGTGGTCGACGGTATCGAAGGCCGCTGAGAGGTCCAGCAGCACCAACAGGGACACACTCCCCCTGTCGAGCTCCCGGCGCAGATCATCCACTAAGGCGACCAAGGCTGTCTCGGTACCATGTCCCGGCCTAAAGCCAGACTGTGCCGGGTCTAGATAATCCGTGTCTACCAAGAATACCTGGAGTTGTGAGGCCACCACACGTTCCAAGACTTTGCCCAAGAAGGGGAGATTGGAAACTGGCCGATAGTTGTCGAATTTAGTGGGGTCCAGTGATGGTTTCTTCAACAGCGGTTTTATTATAGTTTGTTTTAAGCTCGCCGGAATCTTGCCTTCCCGAAGGGAAGCATTAACCACCACCTTAACCCACTCAGCCAATCCCCCTCTGGCCTCCTTTAGAAGCCAGGATGGGCAGGGGTCCAGGATGCATGTGGTTGGCCTCATTCCTCCAAGTATCTTGTCCACATCCTCGGGTTTCACCAATTGAAATGAATCCATCAAAACTGGACAAGCAGGTGTTACATCCTCAGAGACTGCCATTAACATGGTATCCAGACCAGAACTGAGCAAAAGCTTCACAGCGAGAAGTCGAATCGTCAGGGTTCCCACCTTGAGTGGTGGGATTTAAAAGGCCTCTGACAATTCGGAACAGCTCAGCCGGACGGTTCTTTGCAGACGCAATAGTGGCCACAAAGAAGGCCTTCTTTGCGGCTTTTATCGCCGCGGCATATGCCCTTAAAAAGGACACAAACCGTGTTCGATTTGGCTCACTCGGATCTGAACGCCACACACTCTCTAGTTCCCTCTTCCTTCGCTTCATCGCTGCCAGCTCCTGGTATAGAATTGACAGAGCTGTATTTTTGTAATGCTATGTAAGCAACAGGAAGGTTGATATAAATCTGGGAATAGAAGGTGTGATAAGACAGTTGTATTATGTTTTGAAATATTTAATAAAGATATTTAAAATGAATAATAAATAAAATAAAATAAAATAATAGACCAACAGATCAATGGATCGATAAACAGGATGGAAAGAGCATACTCCAGGGATGGACAACATTATTATTATTATTATTATTATTATTATTATTATTATTATTATTACTACTACTACTACTACCCGTCCCCTGCTATGCGTTGCTGTTGCCCAATCTGTGTATATGTGTTTATGTGTGTATATATATTTGTGTATATGTGTATATATATGTGTGTGTATACATGTGTATATATTTGTGTATTTCTGTGTTTATATGTGTATATGTATATTGTGTATATGTGTGTCCTTGTGTATATGCATATATGCGTGCATATATGTGACTGTATGTGTATATGTATGTGTGTGTATATATGTGTATATTTGTGTGTGCATATATATGTGTGTGTGTGTCTCTATGTGTGCATGTGTATATGTATATGAATGTATGTATATATGGTTTATTTTGGGGGGTTTTAAAGTCTGTTCTGCTTTTTTGTGTGTTTTCAGGGGTAATTGACACTTGTTGGACTATTAGGTGTATTGTGTCAAAATTTCATGCCAATTCATTCAGTAGTTTCCGAGTTATGTTTCTCCCACAAACGAGCATTACATTTTTATATATATAGAAGATTATCCTGCTCTTCAGCCACATGGTTATAAGCTACACAATATATCTTTGCAGCCCAAGGTACACTGCTTCTGAAGAAAAAGGTGCTCCAAACGATAAAGAGAGGCCTAAATTAGAGGCTACAATTAGAGACAGTGTCTGCTTACCAATATAAATTTGGCGGTCAAAGCGTCCTGGTCGCATCAATGCTGGATCCAGAACGTCCGGCCTGTTGGTGCCGGCTAGGATCACAACATTTGTGCTGTTGTTGAACCCTGCACAGAAAGAGAAGAAACATGAAGGGAAGGAGGAAAACCAGATTTGTGTGCACAAAGCACACATTCTGTCATGCCTTCTTGCAAACTTAAGACTGAAACGCACTGCTTCCTAACCAAGAGGATATGTCTTTATAGTTATGCAAACAGACTATCTAGCTCAGGCATGGGCAAACTTTGCCCCTCCAGGTGTTTTGAACTCCAACTTCCACAATTCCTAACAGAGATAGGAAGCTAGGAATTGTGGGAGTTGAAGTCCAAAACACCTGGAGGGCTGAAGTTTGCCCATGCCTGAGCTAGCTTCAGGGAACCCATTTTGTCTTCAAACATTTCACAAAAGCGAGTTTTTAATTTATTCCTAGCCACTAAGTAATTACCTAATTATTTCCATTTTAGGTTTTCATTGTATTGTATTGATTTTATTTGGGTCTCTATTTAGAACGAATATTATTAATATCAATAATAATAAATTTCTGAATTTCTATTACTGAATAGCCACCTGCAGCTACAGAGTGAAACCCTTGTGCCAGCAGGACCTGCTGACCGAAAGGTCGGTGATTCGAATCCAGGGAGAAGGGTGAGCTCCCACTTGTCAGCTCCAGCTTCCCTTGCTGGGACATGAGAGAAGCCTCCCACAGGATGGTAAAACATCCAGGTGTCCCCTGGGCAACGTTCTTGCAGACTCACACCAATTCTCTCACACCAGAAGCGACTTGCAGTTTCTTAAGTCATTCCTGGCATGAAAAAAAAAGCTAGAGTTGTAAAGAATTCCTCAACACGGTGGTCACATGTTCATACACAATTTGCATCTCAGATTTAAAAAATCTCATACAAATCTAATGGCTTCCCTCCCTGCAATGAATCTACCAGTTGGGGGATTCTGGGTGCTGTAGTCCAAAAGGCACAAACTTTCTTAAACTCTGTTTGTGACCCACTTTATGGGAACAGCAGCCAACTTTATCTCGATGGAAGGCAAGAAGACAAAAACTCAGTTGTGAGAAGTCAAGAGGTATAGGATAGCAGCCCCTTCAGATGTTTAGAGAAGTTAACAGGAAAAGTGATGTCCAGGAGGTGGAACAGGTAAGACTCTTCCTCTTGGTGCCACATTACCCCTGCAAGGCGGTCCTCTCACCATCCATCTCCACCAGCAGCTGGTTGAGGGTGTTTTCCTGCTCACTTTGCCCCCCAAAGTGTCCCTGGCCCCGCTTCCTCCCAACAGCGTCAATCTCGTCGATGAATAGGATGCAGGGGGCATTCTTTCGGGCCAAGGCAAACATGTCCCGCACCTGGGAGGGCAAAACAAAGGTGTGTATTTGCAGGTTAGCATTCTAATTCCATCCATTTGGAATTACCCCTCTCAGTGCTGGAACCTCCCCCCCCCCCCCCCCCAAGAGGTGCTGGATCTCCATTTGTAGATCCTGCTATTTCCTAATCTTTCCCCCTCCCTTTGTCATTGTCCTCAATGCAGCCTGAGTTTGGTAATGGCTCCCCATGCTCACTCTGGCCGGTCCAACGCCCACAAACATCTCCAGGAACTCAGAGCCATTGACAGTGATGAAAGGCACGTTGGCTTCTCCTGCGGTCGCTTTGGCCAGGAGGGTCTTGCCTGTTCCTGGGGGACCGGTCAGCATTGCTCCCTGGAAGGGAAAAAAGAAACATCCGTCGTAATTGGACAGCCCTGTATCGCATCTCCCATTGTCCACCTTTGTGTTGATTTAAAAAAAAAAAAATAGGTTTTCTTCATAGGGGGAGCGCTCCCATGGGGAGATTGTATACCAGTGGTTCTCAACCTGTGGGTCCCCAGGTGTTTTGGCCTACAACTCCCAGAAATCCTAACAGCTGGTAAACTGGCTGGGATTTCTGGGAGTTGTAGGCAAAAACATCTGGGGACCCCAGGTTGAGAACACTGTTCTATACCTTTCCATGGAATCATAGTTGGGAGAGACTTCAAGGGCCATACAGTCCAACTCCCTTCTGCTATGAAGGGAAACATTCAAAACACTCCCAGCAGATGGTCATCCAGCCTCTGCTTATAAACCTTCAGAGAAAGAGACATTGTCATCTATTATTTATTTATTTACGACATTTATATGCCGCCCTTCTCACCCTGAAGGGGACTCAGAGCGGCTTACTCTCTCTCTCTCTCTCTCTCTCTCTATATATATATACACATATACATACACACACACACATACATACAATATAGTATATTATTCGCATAGTACAATATCAGTATTAAATGCTACTATATTGTACTATACCATTATATTGTAATATTATTAGTAATATTACATGTAATATAAATATATAATTATAATATCATATTATTCTTAGTATTATATTGCATTACATTATAATATTATAAATATTATATGTATATAAAATATATTATGTTACATTATATTATTAGCATAGCACTGGAGACCAAGTGGAACTGTCCCCTGGCCTCCCCTCTCTTCACTCTGGCCCAGAGCGGCACTTGTTGTTATTATTATTACCTGTCCGAACGTATCTGTCCAAACGTATCTCCTTCTATGTCCCATCTAAGATCTTCAGGGGAGGCCCTGCTCTCGGCCCTGCCTTTATCACAAGTGAGACTGGCGGGGACGAGGGACAGGGCCTTCTCAGTGGTGGCCCCTCGCCTGTGGAATGCGCTCCCCGGGGAAATTAGGTCATCAACATCCCTCCTCTCTTTCAGAAGGAAGCTAAAGACCTGGATATGGGACCAGGCCTTTGGGTAAGCTGGCAGATGGATAAAAGACAATGGTGACCAGAGTATGAAAGGACAATGACAATGCTGGATGGATTATGGATTTATGAATTGACGAATGCTGACCACAAGATGATTTTATTGCTGCTGTTGTTTTAATTTGACTGTTTTAATTAGTTATAACTATCGTCGTTATATTGTAAATTGTATATTGTATTTTGTGAATTGTTGGGCATCGAACTGTGCCTTTTGTAAGCCGCCCTGAGTCCCCCCCCTAGGGGGTTGAGAACGGCAGGGTAGAAGCACTCCAAATAAATAATAATAATAATAATAATAATAATAATAATAATTATTATTATTATTATTATTTAAACACAACAAGGTGAGTCCACAGCAGACACTCTGCCAGCTGTTGTATTGGATCACATGTCGGACACTTCCCAAGTGTCTAGGACTGTGTGATGTATCGGCAAATAATGCGTGCAGATCCCAGTAAGGTTGTTATTATTATTGAATCCTAGAGTTAGAAGAGACCTCAAGGGCCACCCAGTCCAACCCCTTCTGCCATGCAGGAAAAGCACAATCAAAAGACTCCCAACAGATGGCCATCCAGCCTTATAGACATTAGAAGGTACACTGAGAAACAGAGCTATTGAATCACAGAATCTTGTAGTTGGAAGGGACCCCAGGAGCCATCCAATCCAACCCCTTTCAGTCATGCAGGAAAAGAACCTCCAAAGCTTTCTGCACAGATGACCATCCAGGCTCTGCTTAAAAAACTCCAAAGGAGACTCCATTGTCATCACTATTATTAACAAAGTTTATGATGATGACGGCAATTATTATTATTATTATTATAGAATCCTAGAGTTGGAAGGCACTGCAAGGGCCATCCAGTCCAACTCCCTTCTGCCATGCAAGAAAACATCAAAGCACTCCCAGCAGATGGCCACCAAACCTAAGAGCTTCCAAAGAAGGAGCCTCCACTGGACTCTGAGGCAGAGAGGTCCACTGCTCTTCTTACGGTCAAGACATATTTCCTAATCTTCAGGTGGGATCTCCTTCCCTGTAACTTCTATGCCTACGGTATCTTTTACCCTGAGTGTTCCTGGTTTGTCAACCATCAGGGGAGATCTTCAGCCTCAATATCTCTCTGGGCTGACCAAGCGCTGCTCCTGCTCTATAAGTTTACCTGGCAACCGAGGGGTGCATACCTTTGGGATCTTGGCCCCCAGCTCCTGGTACTGCTTGGGATTCTTCAGGAAGTTGACGAACTCCAGGATCTCCAGCTTGGCCTCCTCGCAGCCAGCCACGTCCTTGAACTGCACCTGAGTGTTGCCCTGCTGGACCTTGGCCGTGGTTTCGGCCAGGCTAAAGAGGCTCCCGGGCCCTCGGCCCCTACCACCCATGGGTCCTCGCCTCAGAGTAAAGAGCAGGAAACCCACCAGTACCAGAGTGGGCACCAGGCCCACCAGGAAGGAGCTGCAAGGGAAGATGGACAGAGAGGAGAGCCATGATCCACAAGGGACAATGCCAAGATAGCGTCGTTTTATTTTTTAGATGAATTTCTTTCCTTTTTTAATTGTTTCTTTAATTTTTTTTAAAAAAACACAATACAATTACATTGTTATATTTTCAGATCTATGATCCACCCCACCCCCCACCCCATCATATAGAACCATGGAATTGGAAGAGACCTCGTGGGCTATCCAGTCCATCCCCATAACCCACTCCAGCAACCATTTCCGGACTGATCTGGCATTCACTTACCCATCACTCTCCGTGCTGTAGACCACTGAGACCTGGTGCGCCATGTCAATGCCCAGCTCTTGTTGGGCAGCCTCTAAGTTCCGTTCGAACGTATCCACACTGCCAATGTTGAACCAGACGTACTTCTATGGCAAGCAATGACAGATACTAGAGGTGTTTATCCATCCCTCAGTAGCTGCCTCTCCTTTTTGCTGCAAATTCTGCAGGCAGGCAAAGCCTAAAGCTATTTGGTTTATATCCCGCTTTCCTCTGGGTGTCTTTAAGATGCCTGTCGATGTATGGCAACCCTGCACAAGAATCTTCAGAGGTGATTTTGTTAGTTTCTTCCTCTGAAATAGAGCCTATAGCACCCAGTATTCTTTGGAAGTCTCCTCTCCAAATACTAACCGCGGCCTACCTTGATTATCTTCCAGGATCAAAGGGGATTGGGGGCCTATAGGGTGGCATTTTTCAACCTGGGGGTCGGGACCCCTGGGGGGGGGGTCGGTAGGGTTGCCAAAGATGATCAGAAAACACAGTATTTTCTGTTAGCCATGAGGGGTTTTGTGTAGGAAGTTTGGCCCAATTCTATCACCACTTTCTTGCAGCTGCAGGAAGGCATTGTGTTTGGTCACTGGTGGGGTTCAGAATGCTCTTTGATTGTAGGTGAACTATAAATCACAGCAACGACAACTCCCAAATGTCAAGGTCTATTTTCCCCAAACTCCACCAGTGTTCACATTTGGCCATATTGAGCATTTGTGTCAAGTTTGGTCCAGATCCAACATCGTTTGAGTCCACAGTGCTCTCTAGATGTGGGTGAACTACAACTCCAAAACTCAAGGCCAATGCCCACCAAACCCTTCCAGTATTTTCTGTTGGTCGTGGCAGTTCTGTGTCCCAAGTATGGTTTAATTCCATCGTTGGTGGAGTTCAGAATGCACTTTGATTGTAGGTGAACTATAAATCCCAGCAACTACAACTCCCAAATGACAAAATCAATTCCCTTCCCAACCCCACCAGTATCCAAATTTGGGTGTATCAGGTATTTGTGCCCAATTTGATCCAGTGAATGAAAATACATCCTGCATATCAGATATTTACATTACGATTCATAACAAAATTATATTTACATTACGATTCATAACAGTTATGAACAGTTATGAAGTAGCAACAAAATAATGTTATGGCTGGGGGTCAGAACAACACGAGGAACTGTTTTAAGAGGTTGCAGCATTAGGAAGGTTGAGAAACACTGCTCTAGGGTGTGAACTGTCTGCTGCAGGAGAGGCAAAGACCACTGAGGTCCATCTCCCTCCCTCCCTCCTTGACCCCAAGGCCTGCTCACTCGGACTTCTTTATTTCTTCCTTCTTCTCAAGTTTTCTCTCATGGGGAATGCCTCACCTCAAAAGTGGCCCCGGGGACCGGAAACACTCTCACAAACTCCTTGTTCACCACTTCCAGCCGCTCTACCTGAAAAGGCACAAGGAGAGAGAAAGGGAGACATTGCCTTTCCTTAGTGGAGATCTTACTGAAGAATGCATGCATTGGCTATCTATTCTAATTTTCTTTCAAGGTTGGAACTCAAGGCAGCTCACAAAGAACAAACAGAAATGTGATCCTGCATTGGGCTTGACTAGTGGAAATCTCTATTTAAAGGCACCTGGATCCCGCAGTCTGGATCCAGGCCGGGACATGGAACTGAACTGCCTTGGCTGCCTTAGTGGATGATCTACGGCGGGAACTGGACAGGGTGTGTCCCTGTTGGTTCTGCTGGACCTCTCAGGAGGGGGAGAAGGGTGGGGTACAAATATGTGAAATAAATAAATAAATCATAGAGGGAGACCTCAGACCCCAGTTGCTCAGCCAAAGATGGTGCCTTGCAATCCTCCTTACCACTCCGCGGGCCAAGTAGTATTGCACAAAGTGCTTCCAGCTGATCTCTCGGCCAGGATCTTGCCAATAGAAATACAGGAAGCCAGAGACGACGCCAGCTCCCATGACCAAGAGGTATCGGAAATTCTTATTATCCCATGGGAACTCTCCCTGGAACCAAGGGAAGAAAAAGAATGGTTGCAACTTTTAAGTCAGAGGTAAACATTATGAGGCTCTGCAAATAAACTTTGTACAAGGAAGGAATCTGGGGCTTTAGAGGACTATAAAACCATTAGGTTGGATGGGAACTCAAGGGCCATCTAGTCTAAACTCTTCTACCAGGCAAGAAGACCCAACCCAAGCCCTCCTGACAGATGGCCAGACAGTCTCTGTTGAAAAACCTCCAGAGAAGGAGACTCCACCAGACTCCCTGGCAGCAGCATATTCCACAGCTGAACAGCTCTGTCAGGAAGTTCTTCCCAATGTTTAGTGGGAATCTCCTGCAATTTGAACCTGTTCCTCCATTGTGTCCTGGTCTCTGAAGGAGGAGGAAACAAACTTTCTCCTCAATGTGACCTCCTTCCAAATATTTAAACATGGCTCTCATCTTAACCTGCTGCACTCCAAGGCGGGGAATCGCCTCTGCACTCAACACACAATCCAGTTCAAGATAAAATAGCAAAGTAGTTTATTGAAAAATGTGTGTGTGTGTGTGTGTGTGTGTGTATATATATATCTATATATATCTATATATATAAATTTGTTAGGGGCATCCAACGAGGAACAAAACTCAAAAAAACCCCAACGAAACTTAACCAAAATTCCCATGCCCATAACACAACCCACAAGGTACAAACATATCTACTCAAAATGAAAAACAACACAACAACACACTCACAAAACGGCAAAAGGATAAAACTCTAAAAAAACCAACGAAACTTAACCAAAATTCCCATGCTCATAACACAACCCACAAGGTACAAACATATTACTCAAAATGAAAAACAACACAACAACACACTCAAAACGGCAAAAAAACAAAACTCAAAAAAACCCAAACGAAACTTAACCAAAATTCCCATGCCCATAACACAACCCACAAGGTACAAACGTATCTACTCAAAATGAAAAACAACACAACAACACACTCACAAAACGGCAAAACAACTGAGCATGCGCATTGGCGCCCAGCCGCAAGTTCCCTGGCGCGCGCACATGCCCTCCCGGCCAACGTTCCCTCTGCGGAAACCATGCCCACTCCAAGCCCCGCCGCGCCGCTTCCCGCACACACACACACCCCTGCCGCACACACACACAACCCCACGCTCCATCACTCCCCCCGCCGCCGCACACACACACGCAACCCCACACTCCATCACTCCCCCGCTGCCGCACGCACACACGCAACCCCACTCCCCCCGCCGCCGCACACACACACGCAACCCCACGCTCCATCACTCCCCCCGCCGCCGCACGCACACACGCAACCCCACTCCCCCGCCGCCGCACACACACACGCAACCCCACGCTCCATCACTCCCCCCCACCGCCCGCACACACACACACCCCCACGCTCCATCACTCCCCCCGCCGCCGCACACACACACAACCCCACGCTCCATCACTCCCCCGCCCCAATCTTACCTCCTTTTACTTCACGCCACCTCCAAACCCCCCCCCGCCCCTTCCCACCCTGTCAAAATCCAGGAAAGACAGGAAGGAAGGAAAGAAGGAAGAAAGAGAAAGGGAGGTAAAGAAAAAGGGGGAAGGAAAGAAAGTTAGAGAAAGAAGGAAGAAGAAAAGGAAAGAAAAGGAAAGATGGAAGGAAAGGAAAGAGAGACAGCAGAAAAGAAAGAAAAAGGGGGAAGGAAGGAAAGAGATAGAGAAAGAAGAGGAGAAGGAAAGATGGGAGGGAAGGAAGGAAGGAAGGAGGGAAAGAAGGAGAGAAAGAGGGAAGATTGGCCACAGCAACACGTGGCGGGTAAAGGTTGTTATTTCTATTATTATTATTATTATTATTATTATTATTATTATTATTATTATGCTATTGTTCCTATGAGACCCTTTTAGGGGGAATGGGAGAGGTGTCAGGTCCCAGAGGCAATACATTGCATTATTGTTATTGTTATGATGGTGGTAAAATAAAAGGAAATAAAAAGTGAAAGAAGGAAGCAAACAGGGAGGGAAGAAAGGCAAAGGAAGAAGGGGGAGGGAATGAAGGAAAGAGAGAAGGATGAAACCAAGTAGTGAAAGAAAGAAGAGGTAGAGAAGGAAGAAAGGAGAGAAAGGGGGAGGAAAAGGGGGAAGGAATAGGTAGGTACCTCTCTTTCATAATAGTCCAGATATCTACCTCAACTTTGATAAGTTTTACTATAGGCCACAGCAATGCGTGGCAGGGCACAGCTAGTATATATATATATATAGAGAGAGAGAGAGAGAGCAATCCAGCAAAATATTGTAAAATCAATGCCCCAAAAAACAAGAATAAGCTTCAGATTACAAAGTACATGAAATGCATCACAAACCAAGAATACAAAAGCAGGGAAAGTCCAAACATTCAACATAAGAACATGAGAAATAACATCAGGAAGTGTGAACACATAGGAACCTGGAACTAAAAATCTTTTGGAAGATTTTTACTTGACTCCAAAATCAACATTGTTTGGACTGAGGGAATATTCTGCTGGCCTTTCTAATATAGAAAGAAAGCCACGCCATAACTCTCTGGCCCGGAGTGTGGTGGAGGCTCCTTCTTTGGAGTCTTTTAAGCAGAGGCTGGATGGCCATCTGTTGGGGGTGCTTGAATGCCTGCTTTTTGGTGGGGATTCGACTGGATGGCTCTTTCAACTCTATGATTCTGTGATTCTACCCTTCCAAGACTGCTAAGGGCTTCTTTGTTAATAGGCGAATTGACCTTTGCTGTACTTCATGAGATGCCCTATGTTGACAGAACATTAATCTCCTATCTAACTGTTACTCATTAGCTTGTCTACCTGGAGTTGTCCCTTCCTCCCTTGCATCTTCCTCCCCTGAGCTCATTTCTGCCTCTGACCTTGCATCTCTAGGGAACTGCCTTTCTGGAATGTGGAACAAAGAGTTCTCATTGTCAGGATTTTAAATCTCCTGATTCTCTTACTCATCTGCAGACACAGAATCTTCACTGTCAGAATCAGGCTGCCTAACAGGCCCAGAATCCCCAGGAAGAAAAGGGACAGGCACAAACAAAGGTTGGACTTCAACATTATTTTCTCCACGCTAAACTTCCCCAGCACCCAAAGCTTTTCCTCATAGAGCTTGGCTTTCAATCCTTTGGCTCATTTCGAACTCAGTGTGAATCGACAATATCTTGCAGGGGTAAAAAAAAACAAAACAATAACAATAAAAACAAAGACAAAAGAAGTGCCAATGCAATTCTAGGCTGCATCAATAGGAACATTCTCCAGGTTTATTTCAAACGGTCTATAAGGTATCTCGTTATTTCAAATGGTCAATCTATATCCTGACAAGCCCACATAGGAAAGACAGCATTCTCGATACTTAAAACAAGAAAGGTAAAATGACTAACCTTCTGCACACGACTCCACCAACTGGAATCGTCCTCCTTTTTGCCTCGGTCACCTTCTCCTCCATTATTGCTTCCGCCAGCATTTTTCGCCTGATCTTTGGAACGAAGAGGGTCTAGGGAAGATGGAAAAGAATGAATAACACAAAACACGGCTCTCAAAGGGTGCATCTAGGCAAATATCTAGGCAAACTAGGCACCAGGTTTTGGGCTAGTGGCTGTTAGGAATTGTGGGAGTTGAAGTCCAAAACAGCTGGAGGACCCAAGTTGACCCATGCCTGATCTAGGCTGCAGAAAGCGTTTGAACCACTTCAATTGTCATGGTTCTATGCTATGAAACCCTGTGAACTGAATGGTGCATCTACACTTACATATCAGAGGAGCCAGTTCCTAAAATTGGACTTCCTCACTCCCCAAAATCATCTGAGTGCCATGGAATCCTGGGAGTTTTAGTTTCATAACGCCTTTAGCTTTCTCTGGCCAAGAGGGCTGCAGCTCCCAGAATCCCATAGCATTGAGTCATGGCAGTTAACACAGGGTCAAACTGCAGTCATGGTACAGTGTAGACAGGACCAAAGATACCCTTCAATTCCTTATTGTTTGAATATAACGTCTGTTGCTACAGATAAATCAAGAAAGCGGAAGAGACAGAAGGTCCTTTGATTGTCCTTTTCCTGCCTGGCAGAAGGAGGTTGAGCTGGATGGCCCTTGGGATCCTTTCAAACTCTATATTCTATTATTCGATGAGATACAGGACACACAAAGTCGCTTTGAGTCTCTTTGTGGAGAGAAAAGCAGGTTATAATAAACATAATAATAATACAAAATAATAATATGAAATAATAATACAAAATAATACTATGAAATAATAACACAAAATCCAGCACATAGATCTCATTTGCTGTGACATACTGTGTTTTTGTGTCAGTAAAATAATAATAATAATAATAATAATAATAATAATAATAATAATAATCTTAAGGGAGGCTTTATTGCTGCAGTTGCTTACCTTCAGGTGACTTTGAACACAATGGCTGCTGGAAGGATGCTATATGCCTTGGCTGGACTCTCTTCAGCCACTGGAACACATAACAGGTGCCATTAGTTTCCCAAAAGCTATCAGAGAGCAATATTATTATATGTATTTATAAACCACCTTTAAGAGAGACAAAGTGGAATAATAATAACTTAATATATTTTCAGAAGGTAGGCTTCCTTCATAGTCTATTTGGATTTTTTGCAGCTCATAACCCGCACAACAGCCCTGCAAACTGCATGTTCTGAGCTTGGAAAGAAACAATCAAGAGTAAAATTAATAACTTATCTTGTTACCTGCCTCTCCTTAAAACACAGAGATAAAAACATAAAGTCACAGGAAGCACATATATATTAAAATGACATAAAAGTAAGATTAAAACATTCATTCCAGTAAAATGCCCATTTAGAACTCATAGTTTAAAACTGACTGGTTATACAATGAAATACAGATGGTAATGATTAGTCACAAAAGGCAGCCATTTCGCAACTTTGTGAGTCAACCTTTTTATTCCACCTTTGAAGTATGAATGTTAATTTTATGCTGTATTAGTCTTGGTGCTTTAATCTCTGTTCTATGCACTTTAATATTTAAAATTATTATTTAAAATAATATTAAATATTATTTAAATCTTAAGCACTATTTAAATATTAAATATAAATAATTTAATTTTACATGGTATGAGTCTTGGTGGAGTCTGTCATGTTTATATTTTAAATTATTATTTAAAATAATATTAAATAATATTGTGTTGTCAAAGGCTTTCATGGTCGGAATCACTGGGTTGCTGTAAGTTTTCCGGACAGTAGGGCATGTTCCAGAAGCATTATTTTTGAAATAATTCAAATATTAAATATTAATAATTTAATCTTATGTTGTATTAGTCTTGGTGTTTTAATCTCTGTCCTGTGCATTCCAATATTTTAAATTATTATTTAAAAGTAGCAGCCCCCTGCCACGCCTTGCTGTGGCCCAGTCTGTGTATATGTATTTTGTGTGTGTATATATTTGTGTATATGTGTGTTTGCATATATATGTGGTTTTGCACATATGTTGTAATGTAATTTTTGTTTTTTGGCTTTTAAAGTCTCCTCTGCTGTGTTTTTCAGTATTTTTATGAGTGTTAGTCACTCGTTGGCCTGATAGGTGTCTTGTGTCCAAATTTGGTGTCAATTCGTGCAGTGTTTTTTGAGTTATGTTAATCCCACAAACAAACATTACATTTTTATTTATATAGACTAGCTGCCCCCTGCCATGCTTTGCTGCGGCCCAGTCTGGTGACCTGGAAAATAGTGTTGGTTTCTAATATATGTAATTTCTTTATGCTTGCGGGTAAACAGTATTTCTTGTCAGTGTTGATGTGGACATTGTCTGGTTTGCCTACTCCGGAACATGCAACATATCATTGTCCTTCTGTAGAGGTCCCTTTGAAATCTATGATTTTTTTTTTGTCATGTCAGGAGTGATTGCAAGTCGCTCCTGGTGTGAGAGAATTGGCCGTCTGCAAGGACATTGCCCAGGGGACACCTGGATGATTTTGATGTTTTTATCATCCTTGTGGGAGGCTTCTCTCATGTCCCCGCATGAGGAGCTGGAGCTGATAGAGGGAGCTCATCCGCCTCTCCCCGGATTCGAACCCACGACCTGTTGGTCTTCAGTCCTGCCGGCACAGGGGTTTAACCCACTGTGCCACCGGGGGCTCCTATCTATGATACTATATCTGGCATATATATGTGTGTGTGAATTATAACTATTTATATATATCTATGGCTGGATGATTCTTTCTCAGGAGGGCTTTAATTATGTTTTCTTGCCCTGGTGAAGGGAGTTGGACTGGATGGCCTTAAGGCAGCATTTCTCAACCTGGGGGTCGGGACCCCTGGGGGGGGGTCACAAGGGGGTGTCAGAAGGGTCGCCAAAGAAAACCAGAAAACACAGTATTTTCAAACTATAAATCCCAGAAAATACAACTCCCAAATGTTCATGTGTATTTTCTTCAAACTCCACCAGTGTTCACACTTGAGCATGTTGAGTATTTGTGCCAAGTTTGGTCTAGATCCATCATTGAAAGAGTCCACAGTGTTTTCTGGAGGAAGGTGAACTTTTTCTTTTTGTCGTGTCAGGAGTGACTCCTGGTGTGAGAGAATTGGCCGTCTGCAAGGACGTTGCCCAGGGGACACTTGGATGATTTGATGTTTTTATCATCCTTGTGGGAGGCTTCTCTCATGTCCCCGCATGAGGAGCTGGAGCTGATAGAGGGAGCTCATCTGCCTCTCCCCGGATTCGAACCTGCGACCTATCAGTCTTCAGTTCTGCTGGCACAGGGGTTTAACCCCTACAACTCCAAAACTCAAGGTCAATGCCCACCAAACCCTTCCAGCATTTTCTGTTGGTCATCGGAGTTCTGTCTGTGCCAAGGTTGGTTCAATTCCATCGTTGATGGAGTTCGGAGTGCTCTTTGACTGTAGGTGAACTATACATCCCAGCAACTACAACTCCCAAATGACAAAATCAATTTTTTGAGTGATGGTCACTGATTGGCTTGATAGGCGTATTGTGTCCAAATTTGGTGTCAATTCATCCAGTGGTTTTTGAGTTATGTTAATCCCAGAAACAAACATTACGTTTTTATTTATATAGATATTAAACAATATTATTTGATATAATATTAAATATTTAAACATTAAGTACTATTTAAATGTTCGATATTAATAATTTATTTTGATGTTGTTTCAATCTCTGTCTTTTTACATTATTTAAAATAATATGAATAATTTAACATTAAATAAGTTTTCAAAATAAAATATTAAATATTTCAAAATATGAGATTTTATTTAAAATAATATTAAACAATATTAACGCAATTATTATTAGCTGTAGTATTATTTGTGGGAGTTGTAGTTCACAAGGCCTTTCCTAGCTTTCTCTGGCCAAGTGCTACTATGATGGGCTATTGCTATCATGGGAGGCTCTTGAGGCGCGCGCTGATGGCGTCATCAGCGATCGCCTTTACTAACACCGAAGTTCTATAGGAGCCCTGCTTTATTTACGACACTGCCGCAAAGGAAGCCTCCCTGCCTGCCTCACCTGCTGAGCGGGCGTCAGGCCCCGGAGCCCTCGGCAGCGGCTTCTCCACAGAGCGGCCAAGAAAGGAGACCCTCGAGCCGCCGCCCACCCCAGCCGGTAAGCCATACTTGTTCTCAACTAAACTGCGCATGCGCCAAAACTTGGGCACGCAGGCGCAGTAAACTTTTCTCCCTTTCCTCTCTCCAGGGAAAAGCGCCGGACACATCGTGTGTCACGCAGAAAGCGGCTCGGCTGGAACACCCATTCCTTGCACTTATGGTTCCGCAATTAAACTGGTTCAGCTTAGTTATTTATTTCGTATCAAAGAATCAAAGAGTTGGAAGAGACCTCATGGGCCATCCAGTCCAACCCCAATCTGCCAAGAAGCAGGAATATTGCATTCAAATCACCCCTGACAGATGGCCATCCAGCCTCTGTTTAAAAGCTTCCAAAGGAGGAGCCTCCACCGCACTCCGGGGCAGAGAGTTCCACTGCTGAACGGCTCTCACATTCAGGAAGTTCTTCCTCATGTTCAGATGGAATCTCCTCTCTTGTAGTTTGAAGCCATTGTTCCGCGTCCTAGTCTCCAGGGAAGCAGAAAACAAGCTTGCTCCCTCCTCCCTGGGACTTCCTCTCACATATTTATACATGGCTATCATGTCTCCTCTCACCCTTCTCTTCTTCAGGCTAAACATGCCCAGCTCCTTAAGCCGCTCCTCACAGTGCTTGTTCTCCAGATCCTTGATCATTTCAGTTGCCCTCCTCTGGACACATTCCAGCTTGTCAATATCTCTCTTGAATTGTGGTGCCCAGAATTGGACACAATATTCCAGGTGTGGTCTGACCAAGGCAGAATAGAGCATGGGTAGCATTACTTCCCTGGATCTAGACACTATGCTCCTATTGATGCAGGCCAAAATCCCATTGGCTTTTTTTGCCGCCACATCACATTGTTGGCTCTTGTTTAACTTGTTGTCCACGAGGACATTGCATAAATTAGTTTAAAACCGAATAAAAATAGAAGGAGTGCAGGTGGCTAAATATCTTTTGACTAAAAACGGGCAACAGCAATGGCATTGTCTGTAGCCTCCAACAATTCTTCCTCTGCAGATTTTTTTTGTTGTCGTGTCAGGAGCGACTTGAGAAACTGCAAGCCGTTTCTGGTGTGAGAGAATTGGTCGTCTGCAAGAACGTTGCCCAGAGGACGCCCAGATGTTTTTTTTAATGTTTTTATCATCCTTGTAGGAGGCTTCTCTCATGTCCCCGCATGAGGAGCTGGAGCTGATAGAGGGAGCTCATCCGCCTCTCCCCGGATTCGAACCTGCGACCTGTCGGTTTTCAGTCCTGCCAGCACAGGGGTTTAACCCACTGTGCCACCGGGGGCTCCTTCCTCTGTAGATGAGGCAGGGCATAGTGGACAAGCATACAGATGCAGAGTTGTCTGTTCTGCTCCACAATCACATAAGGTGTGGGATTCTTTTATAAAAAGAACAGCTTGTTTATAAAGCTATTGTCCTCCCAACCCTGTTATATGCCTGCAAAACGTGGACTGTCTACAGACTGTCACATGCAACTCCTGGAACGATTCCATCAGCGTTGCCTCCGGAAAATCCTGCAAATCTCTTGGGAAGACAAGCAGACAAACGTCAGCGTGCTGGAAGAAGCAAAGACACCAGCATTGAAGCGATGGTCCTCCGTCCTCAACTCCGCTGGACCGGCCACGTTGTCCGGATGCCCAACCACCATCCAAAGCAGTTGCTCCATTCTGAACTCAAGAACGGAAAATGGAATGTTGGTGGACAGGAAAAGAGATTTAAAGATGGGCTCAAAGCCAACCTTAAAAACTCTGGCATAGACATTGATAACTGGGAAGCCCTGGCCCTTGAGCACTCCAGCTGGAGGTCAGCTGTGACCAGCAGTGCTGCAGAATTTGAAGAGGCACGAATGGAGGGTGAAAGAGAGAAACGTGCCAAGAGGAAAGCGCGTCAAGCCAACCCCGACCGGGACCGCCTTCCACCTGGAAACCGATGCACTCACTTTTTTTTTCAAACTGTTACATAATGATGTGGAAACCTTTCTGAGAAGATGAAAGACAGCCAAAGAGATGGAGCCTAAAACCGCAACAAGAGTTCACACACAGCTTTATTTAAAGTGATTTGAGTGCCTGTGATAATTTACTGTGGTTTCAACTATGATCGGCCATCTCAGGGGATGCCAGGGACTGTTCCAACCCATTCCTTGAGCACCATGGAGGAGAGAAGGTCCTCTCTTTCCACCTCCAAATAGAAGAAATAACTTGAGGATATCAAGCCACCTCCCTAAGGCCAATATAACTGAAATCTCCTTTCCAGATATAGTTATCCTTGCCTGGAAGGAGGCCACAGCCGCACTTTTGTTGCCATGCGCCAGCACAGAGCACAGGCCGGCAGTGCTAAGAAGCAGTCACTAAGGAAAGCTGGCAGCCAGCCTTGCCTTCGTAGTTCTCTCTCCAGACTGGCTTGGAGTCATCCTTAAGCCAACAGCATGTCCTTCTCTTAGCCCAAACCTTGAGTGAGTCCTTCATCTCCTAATTTGAGATCTGGAGATATTCCAAAGCCCAGCACACATGGAGACGTCTTGGCAGCTTTCTCTGTCCAGCTGCTTGATTGTCCAGCTTTCAACAGTACATTCTCAACAGCATTCCTGGGTAATATGCATATCCTTCTACCAATATGAGACGACCCTCTTCCCAGGTAAATTCTGGTGGAGCCCAGCCCACTGGGGAAGACCAAGCCTCCAATACTATTGTGTCTCTGGAAGACGTTGTTAGGCTTGCAGCTCCATGCTGGGATCCTTCAGCAGCGACTGCTTTCTCAGATTGAGTCGGGCGCATTTAGGGCATGTTGTGGAGTTGTCGTAATAGCAATCTCTGTAAAAAGAGGCACAAAGACAGGTCAGTTTTGTTATACTGGGAGGAGAGGAGAAAGAGGTGTTAGCCAACTGATTAACTCATTTGTGGGACTATATGTGTCAGACTCTGGAAGATTTTGGGAGTTAAAATAAAGCTCACAACAATAAAACACTGGAGAGAAGTGGTTTATTCCTTCTTTCCACAATCCTAAAAAGACAGTTCTAAAGTTTTCCCGCTCAAACCTCCTGTATATATGGGCCTCAACTCCCATCCGCCCCCTAGTGGTCACACAGTCTGCCTATATTAAATGCTAATTGGAGGTAAAGGTAAAGGTTTTCCTCTGACATTAAGTCCAATCGTGTCCGACTCTGAGGTGTGGTGCGCATCTCCATTTCTAAGCTGAAGAGCCGGCGTTGTCCGTAGACATCTCCAAGGTCATGTGGCCGGCATGACTGCACGGAGTGCCGTTACCTTCCCGCCGGAGTGCTACCTATTAATCTACTCACATTTGCATGTTTTTGAACTGCTAGGTTGGCAGAAGCTGGGGCTGACAGCGGAAGCTCACACTGCTCCCTGGATTCGAACTGTTGACCTTTCAGTCAACAAGCTCAGCAGCTCAGCGCTTTAACCCACTGTGCCACCGGGGTTCCAAATGCTAATTAAAGGCCACTAAATGCCAATTAAGGTGGCCAATTGCAAAATTCACACCTGCCTCAAACTGACAAGAGTTCTTTCTCCCATCCTGCTATATAAACCCCACTTGCCTAGTTTTCAACAGACCTCACAACCTCTGAGGATGCCCGCCATAGAGGTGGGCGAAATGTCAGGTGAGAATGCTTCTGGAACATGGCCATACAGACTGGAAAATTCACAGCAACCCACTGTGCCCAGAGTCTGTTAACTGCAGTTTCAATTTCCCTCACAGATGTCTTATCTACACTACCTTCCCCAACTGTATCTAGCCCCAACTTCCTTTATGGAAGAGAACCAAAGCAGCCAGTCCCAGGCTGATATGGTGATCCTGACAATATATAACTTATAGGCCACATGAAGACCTTGGAAAAAGGGATCGTGTAAGTACCGGCATGTACCTGTGAAAGACAGCTGAGCAATCCATGCACATTGAGGTATGGCTGTCAAAGGGGAAAAGCACGTCCCCCTCCTTGCAGAGTTCACACACGAAACCTTTTGCTTGGCACCGCTGTGGGGGGAAAGAGGAACTAATGAGTCATGTAGGGCTTCATGCATTCACTATTACGCTGTAGAGAAGGGGACTAGGACAGTTTCTGCTGCACATGCCTCTCTATCTCCTCATGGCTCCTTCAAGCTCCATTTTAGGATAAAAATGGGATATGTGTAAATGTCCTGCCTTTTGTTAGGGAAAACTACCCTAAAATAAAGCCGAGCATCCAAAAACAAATAGGATACAAAAGTTGAGCAACAGCTCATTAGCGAGCAGAGTGTGAAGTGCCGTATGATGTGGCTGTAAAAAATTCAAGTTTAGGAGGCAAACATGTAGAGTCCAATCTTTTAAAAAATCACAAAAAAATTATTTACAAGAGGAGCGAAGAACATGGTCATACATTTTCTTCCAGTGTGCCTTCCCAGAATAAGGAAAACTCAGCAATATGTCCTCAAAATGCACTTTACCACTGATTTAGGACTGACTGCGTTCCCTCAATTCTCTCTGAAAATCCTATCCCAGTTATATCCTACCTTGCTCACGTCAGCATTATTTTTAAATTTTAATCTATTACATTTGGCCTGGCCATTGGTTTTAAATGCTTGTATGTTACTGTTGATTGTTTATTGCCTATTTTTTGTTTATGTGATTAATATGAATTGTATTGTATTGATTGTTTATTGATGTTTTGTTTATTGATGTATTGTGGGCCTGGCCTCATGTAAGCCGCACCGAGTCCCTTGGGGAGATGGTAGCGGGGTGTAAATAAAGTATTATTATTATTATTATTACAGCCCAAAAAACTCTCAACAACCCAGTGATTCTGGCCATGAAAGTCTTTGACAATACATTGACGAAAAAATACATTTCCAACTGTCATACAGGAGACATGGGGAAAGGAAACCCCTCAGATTATTCTATAGCTAACTACTCCTCATTGAGGACTGCATACCTGAGCAGTGTGAGGTTGAATTCCAACACCTTTCATATAGCAAAGGGGCACTGACTGGCTTGCAATATATTAAAACTTCCAGAAAAAAACACAAAGTCTTGAGTCTTTGCCACTTCCCTCACCTCACAGTCCAGTTTAATGTGCTTCGCGAACAGTGTATGGATCTCTGTCAGGGAGCAGCCAAGCCGCCCAGCATTGATGTCAATTAGGTCTTGCAGTGAGTACATTTCGTCATTCTCCACAAAGTGTTGCCGGTCCTGCAGCTGAAGGGAGGAGGGAATTGTGAGCTGACCACAAATATGCATGCGTACATACATACATGCATGTAAATGAAATAGGTGCAGGAGTGAGGAGGGGGGAAAGAGGACAAGAGCATGGAGGTACAAGGAAGGGTAAGATTTGAAGACTTGGTGGTGAAGCTCAGCTTGGTTTCCACTTCTGCTTTAAAGTAGGGCTGGGGAATGAATGTGCACCTTCAAATTTAAAGCAGGTCTCTTCAACTTGCAGCCCTCCAGCTCCCAAAAGTCCCTATTTCTATCTATATAAATAAAAATGTAATGATCGTTTGTGGGATTAACATAACTCAAAAACCACTGGACAAATTGACATCAAATTTGGACACAATACACCTATCAGGCCAACGAGTGACTATCACTCATAAAAACCCTGAAAAAAACAGCTGAAGAGACTTAAAAAGCCAAAAAACAAAAAATACATTACAACACATGCACAAAACTACATATATACACAAACACACATATATGCACATATACACAAATATATAATGCATATATACACACAAAAACACATATACACAGACTGGGCCACAGCAAATCCTTCATTGCCTATTTCCCACTGTGTTTATTGTGTTGATGGGCATGGCCTCATGTAAGCCGCCCCGAGTCCCCCGGGGGAGATGGAGTGGGGTATAAATAAAGTTTTATTATTATTATAAAGCGTGGCAGGGGAAAGCTAGAATATAATATAATATAATGTATTGTAATATAATACTAATAATATGAAATTATAATTATACACTTATATTACATGTAATATTACTAATAATCTATATAAATAAAAATGTAATGTTCGTTTGCGGCATTAACATAACTCAAAAACCACTGGACGAATTGACACCCAATTTGGACATAATACACCTATCAGGCCAACAAGTGACCATCACTCGTAAAACATTGAAAAACATAGCAGAAGAGACTAAAAAAGCCAAAAAATAAAAAATTACAACACATGCACAAAACCACATATATACACAAACACTCATATATACACAAATATATACACACACACAAAACACATATATCTGGCCAATGATTTGACGCGGATTATTAGGACGGTTTTAAATGGTGTATTTTAATATTTTCATAAATGTTTTTTCAATGTTTATGTATTGTATGTGAATTTGTGTCCCGGCATTGAATGTCCTGGCCCTGAGTCCCCTTCGGGGTGAGAAGGGCGGAATATAAATGTTTTAAATAAATATACGCAGACTGGGCCACAGCAACGTGTGGCAGGGGATGGCTAGTATTACAATATAATGGTATAGTACAATATAGTAATGTTTAATACTGATATTGTACTGTGCTAATGATATAATATATTGTATGTATATATACCTTGTAAGCCGCTCTGAGTCCCCTTTGGGGTGAGAAGGGCAGCATATAAATATCGTAAATAAATAAATTTCTAGCATTTCCAATGGTCAGGAATTCTGGGAACTGAAGTCTGAAACACCTAGAGGGCCTCAGGTTGAAGAGGCTCTTTGAAAACAAACCTGGAGCAGCAGCCGGGCCTCCATGGCCTCCTTGCAGGTGATGAAGTATGGCTTCATGAGGAGGATGTCCTGGCGCAGCTTCTGCAGAAGGAAGGACAGAAAATCAGGAAGAATGGAAGCAAGAACCAGTTCATTTGGAGAACTCAACTTAGCAATCTTTTCCTGCCTCCAAAGTACAACTTTCTTCGGGTGCTGGGATAGATCTACATGAGTGATGCCACATGACTGGTGGGGCAAATGCCACCATGACCCCAAATTCCATTCCTCTGCCAAAGAGCTTCTAGGCAAAAGATGCCCTGAAATCCCCACTATCCACTGGGAGGACTCACCCGGATCTCCACCAGCTCCTCAACGTAATTGAACAGAAGAGGGTTGATCTCGCGCAGCTTGAGGACTGGCCGCGACACCATCAGGGCCAGGTAGCGCATGCTGCAGCGAGAGACCTGCAGATCACATTCCCCCAATTAGAGAGAGGAAATAATGGAAGTCTACATCAATCCCAGCAACGCTTAAATGTGTGGAAATCCCTTTCTGAATTCTGAACTTCTATATTACATTATATATATATATATAATATTTTTATATTTTGTATATTTTTAAGTTAAGCTGAATTGATGCTGTTTTATTGCTCTGTTTCCATGCTATTTACATTTCTATATAAATAAATATACACAAACACACATATACCGGGATTGTGGCGCAGCTGGCTGAGTGTCAGCTGCATTAAGATCACACTGACCAAAAGGTCATGAGTTCGAAGCCAGCTCGGGCTGGAGTGGGTTTCCAACCAATTGTGTAGCCTGTTGTCAACCTTTGCAACCCGAAAGACAGTTGCATCTGTCAAGTAGGAAAATTAGGTACCACCTTAAAGTGTGGGGAGGCTAAATTAACTAATTTATGAGGCCATAAAAAAAGACTCCAGCAAAAGCATGCAGGGAATGCGGAAGTACTTCATCAGCGTCGCAGATGGACGATGAAAGCAACAGCTTCCCTGGCGGCCAGAAAAAGTTAAATAGCCTCTGTCTATGTCTGTATATGTTGTATGTCAAAATTGGCATTGAATGGTTGCCATATATGTGTACACTGTAATCCGTCCTGAGTCCGTTGAGGGGTGAGAAGGGCGGAATATAAAAGCTGTAAATAAATTAAATAAATAAATCTACCTTATTGAACCACCTTATCCTTTAACCAGTTTGCATAGTGGTCCTCCCCCCCACCCCAAATTAGTCTGCTCTTGTTTTTGATGCTTGTTTATTATTGTTATGCTGTTTTATGCTGTTCAATTGGTTATTGTTTTGTTTTAATTGTATTTTGCCTTGCGCTTGGTCCCATGTAAGCCGCCCCGAGTCCCTTCTAGGAGATGGAGGCGAGGTAGAAAAATAAAATTCTACTTCTTCTTCTTTCTGAATGGGATCCAGAGGGCTATTTCCTTGCCCTTCTGCTCTGGACTACTGGGAGATGAAAAAGTCTAGAGAGCATGTCTTCACTGGTTAGGATTAAACCAAGGTCTCCAGGATCTTAGCCAACACTCAAACCACTACACCATACTGGTTCATACCTTACGAGGTTCAAAATCCCAGTTGTGGATGACCCGGGCGGGAATGACGGCCTGGTCGTTCCAGTGACAGTTGCCGCAGAAATAAAGGCCTGTGTAGTCACACTGCCGGGCCTCACTTGGGACTCCCCCTGGAGTGGAAAAAAACCAGATCATAATGGATGAATAAAGGGAAATAATAAAAGAAACAACACAAAAGACTTTGATACTTTCTTTATCAAAGTTTGTGCTTTATCCATAATCCCTCAGTCAGCCATGGTCCCCAAAAGAGGGAACTTTCCCCAGAACAGACTAGGGGATTTGGAGTCTAGAAGTCCAAAAACGAAGAAACTTAACTTTGTGTTGTCAAAGGCTTTCATGGCCAGAATCACAGGGTTGCTGTGAGTTTTCCGGGCTGTCTGGCCATGTTCCAGAAGCATTCTCTCCTGACGTTTCACCTGCATCTATGGCAGGCATCCTCAGAGGTTGTGAGGCCTGTTGGAAACTAGGAAAATGGGGTTTATATATTTGTGGAATGATGTCCAGGGTGGGAGAAAGACCTCTTGCCTGCTACTGATCACTTTGATTAGCATTGAAAAGCCTTGCAGCTTCAAGGCTGGCTGCTTCATGCCTAGGAGAATCCTTTGTTGGGAGGTGATTAGCTGGCTCTGATTGTTTCTTGTGTGGAATCCCCCCTTTTTTTAGTGTTGTTCTTGCTATACAGTTCTAATTTTAGGGTTTTTAATACTGCTAACCAGATTTTGTTTCATTTTCATGGTTTCCCTCACCTCTGAGGATGCCTGCCATAGATGTGGGCAAAAAAGTCAGAAGAGAATGCTTCTGGAACATAGTCATACAGCCCAGAAAGCTCACAGCAACCCAAGCTTGACTTTGCGTATCTGTACCCAAACACACAACCCTGTTCCACTAAACCAGTCCCTTGCTTTGTCCTGGAATATGTGGAAGGCCCACCTGAGGACACAAGAGCATGCAAGGACCCCCTCTGCCCACCAGTTTCTGGAAGGTGAATGGCACCCAGACTCCCCAACCCACTTACGGAGGGATATGGGCACCCGGCATTCGGCACAGCGGTAGTCCTGGCTATCCAACCCAGTCTCTGGGCAGATGCTCAGCTCGTACTCGGCCTGGTGGCTGACCTTGGAGCGCACGCAGGGCTTGGTGATGTGGTCCAGGCACTTGCTGTGGCAGCGGTAAGAGCAACCTAGAAAAGAAGGAAGGGAGGGAGTCAATGTAAGATATTTCCATTTCACACATGGACAACTCCCTGTTGGGCAAGTGGGCTTATTAACAAAAGACCCTCCCCATAAATGTACAGCAGAGTAACTTATTAGCAGCAGCGTGACCCAGCACCAGTGGCCAAAAGTGGTAAAAAGAACAAAAACACAAAGACCAATGTTATTCTCTTCCTTAGGAAGTTTTTCTTTATAGCAAAATAATATGGTTTTAATATTTACAATAACAAGGTTTCCATAACACAAATAAAGTTCTTTATACTTCCTTCTTTACTTCCATACTGGGCTTCTTTCCCATGATGATAAACAGCTTTGCTCTCACAGAGCCTCCACTCACACCAAAGGTACACAGGGGCTTCACACAGAGCTTTTTACATAGAGCAGCCTTCACCCTGAAGCTTTACAAAGTAGTTTTACACATGGGGCCTTCAACATAGGACTTCCTCGCACTGAAGCTTCTCACACCAGGCCTTCTCAAAGTGAGGTCTACTAAAACACTGAGGTCTACCTAACACTGAGGCCTTCTCATACTGAGGGCTCTCTCAGACTGACACCTCTCTCACACTGAGATGAAATAAACACAGAGGCCTTCATATACTGAGGCCTTCTCACAAAGAGGGATCTCTCAGACTGACGCCTCTCACACTGAGATGAACTAACACAGAGGCCTTCTCAAACTGAGGTCTACCTAACACTGAGGCCTTCTCACACTGAGGGCTCTCTCAGACTGATACCTCTCTCACACTGAGATGAACTAAACACAGAGGCCTTCTCATACTGAGGCCTACTAACATAGAGGCCTTCTAACACAGAGGGATCTCTCAGACTAACGCCTCTCACACTGAGATGAACTAACACAGAGGCCTTCTAAAACTGAGGCCTACTAACACACTGAGGGCTCTCTCGGACTGACACCTCTCTCACACTGAAATGAACTAACACAGAGGCCTTCTCTTACAGAGGCCTACTACCACACTGAGTCCCTTGTCCCACAGAGACCTCTCACAGACTGAAGACTACTAATCTACAGGCACACCTGCTTATATTGAACTGCAGCTTTTGCTGAGTCATTGCATCCATTTAACCCTTTCAGTGCTTGACTTATTGGACTGTAAGAATGGTTACACTGACTGGGGATTCTGGGACCTGTAGTACCCCAAAAGTAACGTCACCTCTATCCTTTCTTATTTGCAATCAATGTAATAATAATAATAAAACTTTATTTATACCCCGCCACCATCTCCCCAAGGGGACTCGGGACGGCTTATATGAGGCCAAGCCCAAAATACAATACACAATAAAATACAGAATGCAGAGAACAAAAATTACATCAGAAATTAAAAACAAAGCAGTAAGCAAATAAAACAATACAATTAATATAACTCACATTAATATACAATTAATATAACAATACAATACAATTAATATAACTCACAATCAAGGCCTTATGGCATCCCCGGCAGCTCATCTCTGATGTCCTCCCTGCCTGCATTTGTGTGCAAGGCTTTCTTTTGTCAATGGTCTTAATGGGAACAACCAAGGCCACTCCACTTCTAGGCAAGCTTTTAAACAGAGGCTGGATGGGCCATCTGCCATGGGTGCTTTGATTGTGGTGTTCCTGCATGACAGGGAGCTGGACTGAATGGTCCTTGGGGTCTTTTCCAATGCTATGGTTCTATGATTCATATTTGAAGAAAGAGCCCCCCCCCCCATTAATACCTTTACCCTAAAGCCCCTTGCCCAAAATCAAGCAGAAGTGGGTTTTTGAGCTGCCCAGGATAACTGCTTCTCTTTGGGGCTTGGAGGAAAAGCTGCTGGTTGCAGGGGCTCTTCCCAGCCCAAAGAGAAGGGCAAACAGGTATGTGCCTCTACCTCTCCTCACCTGTGCAGGTGTACCAGGTCTGGAGGAGGCCCCAGATGATGGCACTGCACTTGTCACAGGTCTGCTTCACGCTCTTGCTGCTCTTCTCCTTGTAGAAGCGATGTTCGAGGATGATGCGGATGTTGGGCTCGTCTTCACTGGGATCCTGCAGGAAAGAAAGGAGAAGTTGTCAGAGCTTTCCATTGCTGAATCAAGAGAAGCCTTAGTCATATCATTCCCTTTCTATTTAGACCTGGAACTTGCACTCCGCACCTTCAGCTCCTGGAGTTTGAGCCGAAGGTGGATGAGCCGCACCACCGCGTCCTTCTGCTTCTCCGAATTGTCCGGGAGGTCCAGGATCCGGCTCTTGCACTCCTCAATGGCTTGGCGCAGCTGCTCAATGTCAGAGGCCAGGAAGAACCCCTGCAAAGGAAGCACAGAGAGTTGCTGTTGTTGACAAGGTTGAATCCCCAGGGTTCTGGAAGACAGCATCCCCTGCCACCCTCCTGTGGGGTCCTCTGTTCCTCATTCCAAATCACAGGAAGCCAATTGTTGATCAATCTGGTTATTGATGCCTTTTTTATTTTTACCATGAGCAGGTCTAGTTGGAAATAGCAACCTGTTATCCACACAGAGCTGTGTTAACATGGCCTCTAGAACATGGCCATATGGCCCGAAAAAACCTACAACCCAGTGATTCCGCCATGAAAGCCTTTGACGATACATTGTGTTAACATTAACTGTGTAAATTGGTTTAAACTGCACATAAGTATCACAAAGAAAATGCATAAAGTGTAAGTCTAAATGCTACTAAGTAATTTCCCTCTAGAGTTTTCTCAAGGCTTGAGAGTTATAAATTCACTCTTCCAAATGATATATACTCACTGCCAACACGAGAAAAAGGAATCTATATCATTTGGAAGAGTGAATTTATATTTTTGGATGATTTTCATGCTGGTGAGCAAAGGTTTCTAACCCTTGTGCCATCCTTGGGGGCTTCCTGAAGTGGCAGTTAGCTGTTTGGGATGCAGGTCTTGAACTGGCTTTCTCAATTTCTGGCTATATTTCTTAAAGCTTTCTTCAATACTTTCAGCGAATGTTACTTTAAGTGATACCATTCATTCTGCGCCACAGCGAAAGGCTAAGATTCATCCCACAAGAAGTGGGGTGCTCTCACCACAGGCCGAGAGAAGTGATCCTCCGCCAGTCCCAGGTCCATGGCACGCTCTGAACACAGAAAGGTCGGCTCCTCAGAGGTCAATTCCAGCCTCAGGTCTACAAGAGGGACAGAGAGATGGACAGATGGGTCAGGAGGAATTGGGAACATGGAAAAACCAAGAAGCACAACACCATGCCAGGATAGGAGATTCCAATTCATGCCGTAGTCCTGGGCACTGAGGCCCAATATGTTGGGTGAGTGGGCTTATTAACAAAAGACCCTCCTCATAAATGCACAGCAGAGTAACTTCCCAGATTTCCCTTGGATATATGGCTGGGCAGGGGATTTGTGTCAGAAATATTAAAAATTAACTAGGTATTTTTAATTACAATAATGTGAGTCAAGCACTGAAAGGGTTAAATTGAGGCAATGACTCAGCAAAAGCTGTAGTTTTCTGTAAGCAGGTTTGGCTGCTGCTTGGTAGGCCTCAATCTGAGGGAGCCCTCAGTGTTAGTTACCCTCAGTGTGAGGTAGGCCTCTGTGGAGAAAGGCCTCAGTCCGAGAGAGCCTTCAGAGTGAGAGACGCCTCAGTATGGGAAGCTCTGTGTTAGTAGGCCTCAGAGTTAGAATGAGAGAGGCATCAGTGTAAGAGAACGCCCCAGTCTGAGAGACCACCTCAGTGTGAGAGAAGCCTGAGGTTGAAGGCCATCGTGTGTGCAGGTTCAGTACAAAAGCTGCTGTGTGTAAAGCTACTGTGTGAAGCTCTTGTATAAGTTCGGTGTGAGAAGAAGCTCTGTGAGAGCAAAGCTGTTTATTTGCATGATAAAAAAATGTCAGCATGGAAACAAAGAAGGAAGTATAAAGAACTTTGTTCATGTTAAGGAAACCTTGTTTTTGTGAACAGTGCAACCATATTATTTTGCTATAAAGAAAAACCTCCTATGGAATACATAACATTGGTCCGTGTGTTTTTCTTCTTTCTATCAATTTTAGATACTGGTGCTGGGTCACACTGCTGCTGATAATTTACTCTGCTATACGTTCATGGGGAGGGTCTTTTGTTAATAAGCCCACTCGCCCAACAATAACCAGGTATTTCGCCGCATAATAGTTGCCATTGGATAATAGTCGCACCTCCTTCTTTGGGTATTTCTCCTTTATTCGTCTACTTGTTGTATGTAAAACTGTAATTAACACACCCCTTTGAGGCTTGAATACTCCCCCCCTTCTTTCTTTTTGCAAAGACAAGGCAGTATAAAAACATCTGAAATAGAGCTCTTTGGAGCTTGGATCTTCCCTTCCCTCCTCTTTTTCTCAACCAAAAAACAAAGAGAAACTAGAAAATCAAAGGCTTACTTTTTCTCAGCATGTAACAGCCGTACCCTCTTTTTTCCAACAATAAAGGCAAAACACTGCGACTATTATGCGATGAAATACAGTATTTCAAGGCCGGACTCACCTTTATGCGGGAACTCAGCTTCGCTGTTGCTCGTCCTGGGGTCAGGTGAGGCCTGAAGGGGGGTCTTGTCAAAGGGGTTGAGGTGTCCCTGTCGGAAGCGGGCCAGCTTCCCCTCATATTCCATAGCAGTCCGACCTACAGAAGGCACACAGAGGCCAAGGTGAGAGGCTCTCCTCAGGGCCCAGGTGGGGCTCACTTGTTCCAGATGGGCTCAGCACCTGCCACCAAACCAAAATCCTCAACAAAGAGGTCCTTTGCCTTCGAGTGGACATGTCCTTCCTTCTCCTCAGAGCTTGTTTATGCCCCAGACGGCAGAAGAGCCGGTTCTGCAACTCCAGACAGTCATATAATAGCTCCTTACAGCCAGGCACATCATTCCTTCCTTCCTGCATGATGAAGTCACTGCCAGGAATATCATAGGAATGGCCACCAGCCATGGGCAAAGGGGGCATCTACACTGTGGAATGAATGCCGTTTGACCCCACTTCAACTGCCATGTTAACCACAAGGTGCAGCTGCAATAATGCCATGTGCCCCCAGTCACCATTCATAGAAGAAATGAAAAACTGGAGCTAAAGAAACATTTTTTCCACTCACAGGCAAACTCTGGCCCTCCAGTATTTTGGACTTCAACTCCCACAATTCCTAACAAAGTAGTCACTACAAAGTATTTAAAAATAATCTCTATGTATTGGTCACCACATTCTACATACAAAAATATTACATAAATATATAAATTCTGTGTGTGGAGACCTTTGGAACACTCTGTATCCCAGCAGCAGAAGTAATAACAACAATAATAATAATAATAATAATAATAATAATAATAATATAGTAGTAGTAGTAATAACAAAAATAAGGATGAAAAATGTGTTACCTATCTCTCCTAGAGGAAAACAATGTCGACAATAGAGCAACAATGTCACCAACATATATACACACACACACACACACAAGCCGTCTCCTGCCACACGTTACTGTGGCCCAGTCTGTGTATATGTGTTGTGTGTGTGTATATGTGTGTGTATATATTTGTGTATATGTGTATTTATGTGGTTATGCACATACATTGTAATGTAATGTATTTTTATTTTACTTTATGGCTTTTAAAGTGTCTTTTGCTGTGTTTTTCAGTGTTTTAATGAGTGATGGTCACTCCTTGGCCTGACAGGTGTATTGTGTCCAAATTTGGTGTCAGTTTGTCCAGTGGTTTTTGAGTTATGTTAATTCCACAAACGAACATTGCATTTTTATACACACACACACTAGCGGTCCCCTGCCATGCGTTGCTGTGGCCCAGTCTAGTGATCTGGGAAATAAAGCAATGAGAAAGTGTTGGTTTCTAATATATGTAATTTCTTTATGCTTGTGGGTAAACAGTATTTCTTGCTGTTTCTTTGCCAGAGTTGAGGTCAAGATTGTCTGGTTTGCCCACTCTGGAACATGCAACATATCAGTGTCCTTCTTTAGGGGTCTCTTTCAAATCTTTGATACTGCATCTGTCATATACATGTGTGTGTGTGTGTGTGTGTGTGTGTGTGTGTGTGAATGGATGGATGGCCCTTTGTCAGGAGGGCTTTGATTATGTTTTCTTGCCCTGGTGAAGGGTGTTGTAGCTCAGCCCCAGATATTGTTGAATATGGCCATATCTTTTTCTACCACTTATCCAGATCACTTCCTCCTATTAGGCTCCGGAAATGAACAGCCATAGATCATACCTATTATTGTTGTTGCCTGCTATAGCATTGCTCCTAATTTCCCGGGCCCTCTAGAAATTGCACTAACCTTGGTCGGGCCTTTTTAAACTGCCTTGAATAGGCAGGATTATATATATATATATATATATATATATATATATATATATATATATGTGCTATTGTGATTTTTTATGCTTATATAGCTTTTTTGATTTTATGTTTATGTTGTTTACTCTGTGTGTATTGATGATGTTACTTGGAAACTGCTCTGAGTCCCCTCGGGGAGATAGAGCAGTATATAAATAAAGTTTTGTTGTTGTATAATTGATGCTGTTTGACACCACTTTAACTGTCGTGGCTTAAGGCTGTGGAATCATGTAAGTTATCTATATAAATAAAAATGTAATATTCGTTTGTGGGATTAACAGAACTCAAAAACCACTGGACGAATTGACATCAAATTTGGACACACAACACCAAACAACTCATTTTTTTTTGTCGTGTCAGGAGCAACCTGAGAAACTGCAAGTCGCTCCTGGTGTGAGAGAATTGGCCGTCTGCAAGGACGTTGCCCAGGGAATGCCTGGATGTTTTTTTGATGTTTTATCAGCCTTGTGGGAAGCTTCTCTCATGTCCCCGCATGAGGAGCTGGAGCTGGTAGAGGGAGCTCATTCGCCTCTCCCCGGATTTGAACCTGCGACCTGTCGGTCTTCAGTCCTGCCGGTTTAACCCACTGCGCCACCGGGGGCTCCAACTCAATGTATATCCTTCACTCAAAAATTGATTTTGTCATTTGGGAGTTGTAGTTGCTGGGATTTATAGTTCACCTACAATCAAAGAGCATCTGAACTCCACCAATAATGGAATTGGGTCAAACTTAGCACAAAACACTCCCATGATCAACAGAAAAAACCAGAAGGATTTGGTTGGCATTGACCTTGAGTTTGGGAGTTGTAGTTCACCTACATCCAGAGAGCACTGTGGAGTCAAACAATTATGGATCTGGACCAAACTTGGCATGAATATTCCATATGCCCAAATATGAACATAGATGTAGTTGGGGGTAAATAGACACTAACATTTGGGAGTTATAGTTACTGGGATTTATAGTTCACTTACAATCAAAGAGCATTCTGAACCCCACCAACGACAGAATTGGGACAAACTTCCCACACAGAACCTTGATGACCAACAGAAAATACTTAAGGCCATCCAGTCCAACTCCCTTCATCAGGGCAAGAAAACGTAATCAAAGCCCTCCTGACAAAGACTTGGTTGTTTGGTTGTGCATTTAAGTAATCAGATCTAATTTGCCAAATAGTCACTGTTGAACGTTTTTTTGTTGAATGTTTTTATATTGTGTAAATGCTATTTTAGACTGTAAGTCGCTCGGAGCACCTTGGTGGAGAGCGACTAATTAAGAAAAGAAGTGAAGTGAAGAAGTGACAAAGAGCCATCCAGCCATAGATATAGATAGTTATATATGATTCACACACACAGAGATATAGTCTCATATATTTGAAAGGGACCCCTAAAGGACAATAATATGTTGCATGTTCAGAGTAGGCAAACCAGATAATCTCCACATCAACACTGACAAAGAAACAGCAAGAAGTCCTGTTTACCCACATGCATAAAGAAATTGCATACATTAGAAACCAACACTTTGTCATTACTTTATTTTCCAGATCATGAGACTGGGCCACAGCAACGCCTGGCAGGGGACGGCAAGTATTTTCATAAGATCTTCAGCCTTCTTTGCAAAAGAGTGCTATTGCCAGCTAACACCTCCCAACAAAAGATTCCCACAGGCAGCACCCAGCCAGGCTTTGAAACTGCAAGGCCATTAAAAGTGGCCAATTGCAACATTCACATCTATCTCCAACAGACAAGAGTTCTATGTATTGTCGAAGGCTTTCATGGCTGGAATCACTAGGTTCTTGTGGGTTTTTTCGGGCTATATGGCCATGTTCTAGAGGCATTTTTCCTGACGTTTCGCCTGCATCTATGGCAAGCATACTCAGTGAGGTCTGTTGGAAATAGGAAAATGAGTTTTATATATCTGTGGAATGACCAGCGTGGGACAAAGGACTCTTGTCTGTTGAAGCTAGGTGTAGATATGTGGATGACACTTTCACCATTTGGAGCCATGGAGAAGAAGAACTAACAGGTTCCTGGACCATCTAAACAGCATCCACCCAAACATCCAGTTCACCATGGAAAGAGAAAATGAAGGAAGACTGCCTTTTCTACTGCAAACCAGATCAACAATTGGCTCACATCTGTTTACAGAAAACCCACACACACAGATAGATATCTACATAAAAACTCCAACCATCACCCAAGTCAAAAAAGAAGCACCATTAAAACCTTGGCAGACCATGCAAAAAGAATCTGCGAACCCCACCTCCTCCAAGATGAACTGAACCACCTCAACTGGGCTCTCCAGGCTAATATATATTCCACCTCAGACATCAGAAGAGCTGCAAGACCAAGAACAAGCCACGAGAGTAAAGATGAAGATCCACCCAGAGGAAAAGTGTTCCTGCCATACATCAAGGGAACCACTGACCGCATAGGGAAGCTGATGAGGAAACACAACATACAAACAATCTACAAACCCACCAAGAAAATCCAAGAAATGCTACGTTCTGCAAAGGACAAGAGGGATCCTCTCACCTCTGCAGGAGTCTACCATATACCATGCAGCTGTGGACAAGTCTACATAGGGACCACCAAACGCAGCATTGCCCAAACACGAATCAAGGAACATGAAAGGCACTGCAGACTACTTCAACCAGAGAAGTCAGCCATAGCAGAGCACCTGATGAACCAGCCTGGACACAGCATATTATTTGAGAACACAGAAATGCTGGACCACTCCAACAACCACCATGTCAGACTACACAGAGAAGCCATTGAAATCCACAAGCATGTGAACAATTTCAACAGAAAGGAGGAGACCATGAAAATGAACAAAATCTGGCTACCAGTATTCAAAAAAAACTCTAAAATTACAACAGCAAAACAGCAGAGAGGAAACAACCAGGCACATCTTAACACCTCTCAACAAAAGATTTTCCCAGGCTCAGCCAGGCCTTCAAATGCTAATGAAGGTGGTCAGCTGAAACATTCACACCTAGCTTCAGCAGAGAAGAGCTCTTGCCCCACCCCAGTCATTCCACAGATATATAAACCCATTTTCCTATTTCCAACAGACCTCACTACCTCTGAGGATGCTTGCCATAGATGCAGGCGAAACGTCAGGAGAAATGCCTCTAGAACATGGCCCTATAGCCCGAAAAAACCCACAAGAACCTAATCTTCAGCCTTCTTTGCAAAGGAGTGCTATTGCCAGCTAACACCTCCCAACATAAGATTCCCGCAGGCAGCACCCAGCCAGGCTTTGAAACTGCAAGGCCATTAAAGGTGGCTAATTGCAACATTCAGACTTGCCTCAAGCAGACAAGAGTTCTTTCTCCCGCCCTGGACATTATTCCACAGATACATAAACCTCGCTTGCCTCGTTTCCAACAGACCTCACAACCTCTGAGGGTGCCTGCCATAGATGCAGGCGAAACGTCAGGAGAGAATGCTTCTGGAACATGGCAACCCAGTGATTCCGGCCATGGAAGCCTTCGACAACACAACAAGAAGAAGAAGGATCAAAGCTAACCAGTGTGGGACCTAATGTGGCACCATAATAATAATAGTAATACCTGCTGGCCCATGGAGGAGGGAGGTGGAGGCCTGACTGGGCCGCTTCCCCTGGAGCTACATCCTTCACCTCACTTGCTCCATCTTCCACCGGAACCGGAAGAGGTTTCTGAAATGCCACGCCCTCGCTGCTGTTGCCTCCTAGCGGCCTTCAGAGGGAACTGCAGCAAGAAGAGGTAGCGAATCAGCAATGGGTTGCCTGCAATGCCTCTGCCCGCCGCTAGAGGCGCCCAATGCAAGGAAAACAATGGGAAGGAGATCAGCACCGTGGCATGAATGCGGATTGACCTCACTTGAACTGGTTGTTGTTGTTGTTCAGTCGTCCCCCGGTGGCGCAGTGGGTTAAACCCCTGTGCCGGCAGGACTGAAGACCGACAGGTCGCAGGTTCGAATCCGGGGAGAGGTGGATGAGCTCCCTCTATCAGCTCCAGCTCCTCATGCGGGGACATGAGAGAAGCCTCCCACAAGGATGATAAGAACATCTAATCATCTAGGTGTGCCCTGGGCAACGTCCTTGCAGACGGCCAATTCTCTCACACCAGGAGCGACTTGCAATCTCTCCTGACACGAGTCGTTCCCGACTCTTTGTGACTTCATGGACCAGTCCACGTCAGAGCTCCCTGTCGGCCGTCACCACCCCCAACTCCTTCAAGGTCAATCCAGTCACTTCAAGGATGCCATCCGTCCACCTTGCCCTTAGTCGGCCCCTCTTCCTTTTTCCTTCCATTTTCCCCAGCATCGTTGTCTTCTCTAAGCTTTCTTGTCTCCTCATGATGTGGCCAAAGTACTTCCTCTTGGCCTCTACTATTTTTCCCTCCAATGAGCAGCCGGGCTTTATTTCCTGAAGTATGGACTGGTTGGATCTTCTCGCGGTCCAAGGCACTCTCAGAACTTTCCTCCAGCACCACAGCTCAAAAGTGTCTCTCTTCCTTCGCTCAGCCTTCCCTGTGGTCCAGCTCTCACATCCGTAGGTTACTATGGGGAAGACCATTGCTTTGACTATGCAGATCTTTGTTGCCAGTGAGATGTCTCTGCTCTTCACTATTTTATCAAGATTGCTCTCCTCCCAAGAAGTAAGCGTCTCCTGATTTCCTGGCTCCAGTCTGCGCCTGCAGTCATCTTTGCACCTAGAAATACAAAGTCTGTCACGGCCTCCACGTTTTCTCCCTCTGTTCCCAGTTGTCAATAATTCTTGTTCCCATAATCTTGGTTTTTTTTTATATTTAGCTGCAACCCAACTTTTGCGCTTCTCCTCAGCTCCTCCTCGCTTTCGGCCATCAAAGTGGTGTCATCTGCATATCTAAGGTTGTTAATGTTTCTTCCAGCAATTTTCACCCCAGCCTTGCATTCGTCAAGCCCTGCACATTGCATGATGTGTTCTGCATACAAGTTGAATAGGTTGGGGGAGAGTAGACAACCCTGTCGTACACCTTTCCCAATCTTGAACCAGTCTGTTGTTCCATGGTCAGTTCTGACTGTTGCTACTTGGTCCTGATACAGATTCCTCAGGAGAGAGACAAGGTGATTTTGTATGCCCATATATAAAGAAGTGTTGGTATGCCCATATATAAAGAACTGAAAGCCAAAACCAAGGTTACAACAACATCTGTTATAGAACTCCAGTATGCTGATGACAACGTCGTATGTGCGCATTCAGAAGAAGATCTACAAGCCACTCTAAACACCTTCGCAGAAGCATACGAGAAGCTCGGCCTGTCATTAAACATCGAGAAAACCAAAGTGCAGTTCCAGCAGACACCAGCCAACCCCTCTCCAATGCCAGCGATACAGCTTAATGGTGTAACATTAGAAAATGTTGATCATTTCCGCTCCCTTGGCAGCCACCTCTCCACCAAAGTCAACATCGACACCGAAATACAACACCGCCTGAGTTCTGCAAGTGCAGCATTTTTCCGAATGAAGCAGAGAGTGTTTGAGGACCGGGACACCCGTAGGGAGACCAAGGTGCTTGTTTATAAAGCTATTGTCCTCCCAACCCTGCTATATGCCTGCGAGACGTGGACTGTCTACAGACGTCACATGCAACTCCTGGAATGATTCCATCAGCGCTGCCCCTGGAAAATCCTGCAAATCTCTTGGGAAGACAGGTGGACAAATGTCAGCGTGCTTGAAGAAGCAAAGACCATCAGCATCGAAGTGATGGTCCTCCGACATCAACTCTGTTGGACCAGCCACGTTGTCCGGATGCCCGACCACCCTCTCCCAAAGCAGTTGCTCTACTTCGAACTCAAGAACGGAAAATGGAATGCTGGTGAACAGGAAAAAGAGATTTAAAGATGGGCTCAAAGCCAACCTTAAAAACTCTGGCATAGACACTGAGAACTGGGAAGCCCTGGCCCTTGAGCGCTCCAGCTGGAGGTCAGCTGTGACCAGCAGTGCTGTAGAATTTGAAGAGGCACAAATGGAGGGTGAAAGAGAGTAATGTGCCAAGAGGAAGGCGCGTCAAGCCAACCCCAACCGAGACCACTTTCCACCTGGAAACCAATGCCCTCACTCCGGGAGAACATGCAGATCAAGAATAGGGCTCCACAGTCACCTACGGACCCACTGCCAGGACACAGAACTTGGAGGACCATCATCCTCGAACTACGAGGGATCGCCTAAGTAAGAAGTAAGTAAGTAAGTTTACCCCAGCCTTGCATTCATCAAGCCCCGCACATCGCATGATGTGTTCTGCATACAAGTTGAATAGGTTGGGGGAGAGGATACAACCCTGCCGTACGCCTTTCCCAATCTTGAACCAGTCTGTTGTTCCATGGTCAGTTCTGACTGTTGCAACTTGGTCCTTATACAGATTCCTCGTGAGAGAGACAAGGTGGTTTCGTATGCCCATACCACTAAGAACTTGCCACAATTTATTATGATCCACAGTCAAAGGCTTTAGAATAGTCAACAAAACAGAAATAGATGTTTTTCTGAAACTCCCTGCCTTTCTCCATTATCCAGCGGATGTTGGCAATCTAGTCTCTCGTTCCTCTGCCTTTTCGAAACCCAGCTTGTACATCCAACAACTCCCTCTCCATGTCTTGCTGGAGTCTTCCTTGCAGGATCTTGAGCATTACCTTACTGGCATGAGAAATAAGGGCCACTGTACGGAAGTTTGAGCAGTCTTTAGTATTTCCCTTTTTTTGGTATGGGGATATAACTGCTATGACTCAAATGCTATGGAATCCTGGGAGTTGCAGGTTGGCCATGGCTCGGTGCTATGAAATTCTGAAAGTTGTAGTTTGGCTATGGCTCAGTGCTATGGAATCCCTGGAGTTGCAGTTGGCCTGTGACTCAGTGCCATGAAACTCTGGGAGTTGTAGTTTGGCAGTGGCTCAGTGCTACACAATTCTGGAAGTTGTAGTTTGGCCATGGTTCAAATTTATTTATTTATTTATTTCCAATATTTGTACCCCTCCCTTCTCTACCCCCGAAGGGGGACTCAGGGCGGCTTATAGCTGGCAGCAATTTGATGCATGCCCCCATATACAGCAGAGAAAACAACAATTACCTAATAAGTAAAACATTAAAATTAGATTTTAAACCATTTTAAATAGTCCAAATTGAATTAGCTGGCATGACAAGCCTGGGTTCTACGATCAACAACTTAATCCGAAGTCTGTCCATAGTCCATTTTCCATAGCATTGTCGTCATTTTTATTGTCAGCCTGCTATCCGAATGCCTGGTCCCATAGCCACATCTTCAACTTTTTCCTGAAGGAGGGAAGCCATTGACCTAATTTAACTGGGGAGCAAGTTCCACAGGCGGGGGGCCACCGCTGAGAAGGCCCTGTCCCTTGTCCCCACCAAGCGCATTTGCAACAAAGGTGGGATTGAGAGCAGGGCCTCCCCGGAAGATTGCAAATGTCAAGGTGGGCCGTAGTCGAAGTTTGGCTATGGCTTAATGCTATGGAAGCCTCGGAGTTGTAGTTTGGTTTTGATTCAGTGCTATGAAACCCTGGGAGTTGAAGTTTGGCCATGGTTCAGTGCTATGAAATTCTGGGAGTTATAGTTTGGCTATACTGGATGAGAGCTAACAAATCGGACTGGATGAGAGCTAACAAATTGAAATTGAATCCAGACAAGACAGAGGTCCTACTGGTCAGTCGCAAGGCCGAACAGGGTATAGGGTTACAGCCTGTGTTAGACGGGGTTACACTCCCCCTGAAGACGCAGGTTCGCAGCTTGGGAGTGATCCTGGACTCATCGCTGAGCCTGGAACCCCAGGTCTCAGCGGTGGCCAGGGGAGCTTTTGCACAATTAAAACTTGTGCGCCAGCTGCGCCCATACCTTGGGAAGTCGGATCTGGCCACGGTGGTCCACGCTCTTGTCACATCCCGGTTGAATTACTGCAACGCACTCTACGTGGGGTTGCCTTTGAAGACTGCTCGGAAACTTCAACTAGTCCAGCGAGAAGCAGCCAGATTGCTCACCGGAGCGACGTACAGGGAGCATACCACCCCCCTGCTGCGTCAGCTCCACTGGCTGCCGATCCAATTCCGAGCACAATTCAAAGTGCTGGTTTGACCTACAAAACCCTATACGGTTCCGGCCCAGTGTATCTGTCCGAACGGATCTCCCTCTACATCCCACCTCGAAGTTTAAGATCTTCTGGGGAGGCCCTGCTCTCGACCCCCACTGTCACAAGTGAGGCTGGTGGGGACGAGGAGCAGGGCCTTCTCAGTGGTGGCCCCCCACCTGTGGAACTCACTCCCCGGGGAGATTAGATCGGCGACTTCCCTTCTGGCATTCAGGAAAAAACTGAAGACCTGGGTTTGGGACCAAGCCTTTGGACACACTGGCAACTAAATTAAGGATCTGACGATAGACAAGGACAAATGGAATGGAATGGATATATGGACTCTGAACCCGAGCATGAGATTGTTTTAATATTTTATTATGCATTGATGTTTTAATTTAACTGTTGAATTGCTTTTTTGTATTTTGTACTGCTTGTCAATGGATTTGGGCATCTAATTGTGCCTCCTCTGTAAGCCGCCCCGAGTCCCCCCCGGGGTGAGAAGGGCGGGGTATAAGTAAATGAAATAAATAAATAAATAAATATGGCTCAGTGCTATGGAATCCTTGGAGTTGCCGTTTGCCTATGACTCGGTGCTGTGAAACTCTGGGAATTGTAGTTTGGCAATGGCTCAGTGTTACAAAATTCTGGGAATTGTAGTTTGGCCATGGTTCAAATGTGAAAATCTGGGAGTTGTAATTTGGCCATGGCTCAGTGCTATGAAATTCTGGGAGTTGTAGTTTGGCAATGGCTCAATGTTTGAAACCCTGGGAGTTGTAATTTGGCCATGGCTCAGTGCTATGAAACTGCGAGTTGAAGTTTGGCTGTCGCTTAATGCTGTGGAATCCTGGGAGTTGTAGTTTGGTGATGGCTCAGTGATGTGAAACCCTGGGAGTTGTAGTTTAGCCATGGCTCAGTGATATGAAGCTCGAGTTGAAGTTTGGCTATGGCTTAATGCTATGGAATCCGGGGAGTTGTAGTCTGGTTATGATTCAATTCTATGAAACCCTGGGAGTTGGAGCTTGGCCGTGGCTCAGTGCCATTAAATCCTGGGAGTTGTAGTTTGGTGACGGCTCAATGCTGTGAAACTCTGGGAGTTGTCGTTTGGCCATGGTTCAGTGCTGTGAAAACCTGGGAGATGAAGTCTGGCTATGGCTTAATGTTATGGAATCCTGGGAGTTGTAGTTTGGCTATGGTTCAGATGCTGTTAAATCATGGGAGTTGTACTTTGTCTGTGGATATAATAAGCAATGTTTGCAGGCTTCCAATGTTATGGTATTGCAATGCGAAGGATTCAGATGAAAATATTGTGTTTCATGGACAACCAGGGTTTCTGGAAGCAACCATGGGCTTTGCAGTACATTTAAATTCTAAAGTATCTCATGATGAATCACGTAATACCAATTTTTAGTCTGTAAAGCAATAGCATTCTTTGTTAAACTGATTTTCTTGCATTCTACCTTGGGTTGGGTATAAATATTGAAAACATCCTTAGGCACTTTGGCCTAATAATATTCCAAATAGAGTAATTCAGGGCACTTTAGCCCATTTAATATCTATTTTGAGTCTGTTCAACAACATAGTTCTTTATTAATGTTAGTTTCTCTCTCTCTCTCTCTCTCTCTCTCTCTCTCTCTCTCTCTCTCTCTCTCTTTGGAACTCTGAGTTCTTCAGATGTAAAGTGGAATATAAATACCGAAATAAATATTTTAATAGATACCTAGAATATTCCTAGGCAGATTGTCTTGATAATCTGCCGAAGTTTGGACTAAAACCTGGAGCGAATAGACTGCCTCCATTGATAGGGAAGCTCCATATTTACATTTGATGAGCATTGCTGTTTTGATCTTTGTTCTATAATTTGTAATATATTATTACAAATTAGTGATGTTCCGTCTTCCAGGAGCATGGGTTACATTGCCTTTTAGCTGCATGGGATAGCTTTCCTTTGTATTTCCCCAGGGTTGCTATAGACCCAGCAGCACCCTGGAAGTGCTGGGTGTCCTCCTGGATTCATCACTTACGCTTGAGGCTCAGGCATCAGTGGTGGCCGGGAGGGCTTTTGCACAATTGAGACTCGTGCGCCAACTGCGATCGTACCTCGTAAAGGCTGATCTGGCCGGGGTGGTCCATGCCTTGGTCACCTCTAGATTGGACTACTGTAATGCGCTCTATGTGGGGCTGCCCTTGAAAACGGCTCGGAAATTCCAACTGGTCCAACTGTCGGCGGCTAGATTGTTAACTGGTGCTCCTTACAGAGAGAGGTCAACCCTCCTGTTTAAGGAGCTCCATTGACTGTCGTTCATCTTCCGGTCCCAATTCAAGGTGCAGGTGTTCACCTACAAAGCCCTAAATGGTTTGGGACCCGCCTACTTGCATGATCGCATCTCCATATATGAACCCACATGATTCCTTCGATCATCTGGAGAGGCCCTGCTCATGATCCCACCTGCGTCGCAAGCGCGTTTGGTGGGGACAAGGGACAGGGCCTTCTCTGTGGTGGCCCCCCAACTCTGGAACTCTCTCCCCAAGGACATCAGACTAGCCCCAACATTGGCAGTCTTCAGGAAGAGCCTGAAGACCTGGCTGTTCCAGTGTGCTTTCTCAGAATAGGAAACTCCTAGCATCATGTCCCAAATGCACTTTGTTAGAGATTTAGGATTGTCTGCACATTGCACCTACCTCCAAAAACCTCTACATTTCACCTGTCATGTCCAGCACTTTCTAAATTTGTCCATTATATTTGGCCTGGCCTTAGGTTTTAAATGCGTAATGGTGTCATTGTTTTAGTGTTTATTGTTTTGCTTGATGTTTTATTATTTGTTTTATGAGTTTTATTGTTGTATTTGTATGCTGTTGTTTCGTTGGTGGCCTTGGCCTTTGTAAGCCGCATTGAGTCCTTCGGGAGATTTTAGCGGAGTATAAATAAAGTTAATAAATAATAATAATAACAATAAGTTAAACAGTATCAGAGTCTGGAAGGCCAGGCTGCAGGCCCTCTGCAGTTATTGGTTTAGAAATATCTCTTTGGGTTTGGAGTCCGGCCTTTTTCCTGGGGTTGAGATCTCCATTTTCGAATCTCCCCTGCCTCTTTCAGTAGAGAAAAAAAAGCCTCAGATGTGCTGTTAGGTCAAGCTCAGGCAGCTCTGACAAGCCATTGTAAGTACAATTGAGATACTGAGATAGATAGAATAGGAATTGAGTAATTAAGAAATTGAGTTATAGATAGAAATTGAGTTATTGAGAAATAGAGAGAAATAGTTATTGAATACTATTGAGCATTACTTCATCTCCAAAGCTAACCTTGAGCTTAGATAGGGGAAGACCTGTTCTTTCTAACCATAGCAGTTCAGAGTTAGGGTGAAAGATCCCAGGATTTTTTTCTACCTTTTGGAGAAAAGTTACCCCAGTAATTGAAGAAAAGGAAAGGAAGAACATCTCTATGGTTTCCCAAATTGACTGTTTTATGTTGTAACTTTATCAAGCTGTGCCAAGTCTGCCAAGGACTTTGGAAATAAATATTTTGTTGATGTTCATATCTTGACTGGCATCAGTTGCTGAAAGTATTGAGTTATTGCTTCAAAGAAAGACCCCCAGATAAAGAGAGAAGCACATCTTAGTTTTAACCTTATAGCATCTGGGTGTGACGGCACAAGTGATCCTAATAGTAATAATATAAAATAATCATCACCACTGTTTCTCAACCTTCCTAATGTGCAATCCCTTAATCCAGTTCCTCATGTTGTGGTAACTCCCAACCATAAGATTATTTTTGTTGCTACTTCATAACTGGAATTTTGCTCCTGTCATGAATTGTAATGTAAATATCTCATCTGCAGGATGTATTTTCATTCACTGGACCAAATTTGGCACAAATATCCGATACTGGTGGGGTTGGGGGGGATTGGTTTTGTCATTTGGGAGTTGTAGATGCTGGGATTTATAGTTCACCTACAACCAAAGAGCATTATGAATTCCACCAACGATGGAACTGAATCAAACTTGGTACACAGAACTCCCGTGACCAACAGAAAATACTAGAAGGGTTTGGTGGGCATTGGCCATGAGTTTTCGGAGTTGTGGTTCACCCACATCCAGAAAACACTGTGGACTCAAACAATGATGAATCTGGACCAAACTTGGCACAAATAATCCATGTGGCCAAATGTGAACACTGCTGGAGTTTGAGGAAAATAGACCTTGACATTTGGGAGTTGTAGTTGCTGGAATTTATAGTTCACCTACAATCAGAGAGCATTCTGAACTTCATCAATGATGTAATTGAACCAACCTTGGTACACAGAACTCCCACGACCAACAGAAAATACTAGAAAGGTTTGTTGGGCATTGGCCATGAATTTTAGAGTTGTAGTTCACCCACATCCAGAAAGTACTGTGGACTCAAACAATGATGGATCTGGACCAAACTTGGCACATATAATCAATATGGCCAAATGTGAACACTGGTGGAGTTTGAGAGAAATAGACCTTGACATTTGGGAGTTGTAGTTGCAGGGATTTATAGTTCACCTACAATCAAAGAGCATTCTGAACCCCACCAAGGACAGAATTGGGCCAAACTTCCCATATAGAACCCCCATGACCAACAGAAAATACTGTGTTTTCTGGTGGTCTTTGGTGACCCCTCTGACACCCCCTCGCAATCGCCCCAGGGGCCCTGATCCCCAGGTTGAGAAACACTGAATTATTGGAATATGCCGTTATTTGATTAATTTTCAATATTTTGTATTCCTTCCCTTTGCCCCCCTTTCCTAGAAATGGAGTTGCTTCAATGCTGGACAGCAATAGATTTATTAAATATTCCAAAACATAAAAAGAGACACAGACCAGTAAAAAATGAAAACCAGGGCCCTCAAAAGTTATCAAAGTCTGTCGTCAGATGCGCTCAAGCGTACAGTGGCAAGAAAGGGAAGGAGCATTGTCATGAGGACGAAGAACAGCCAAATCCCATAATTTCACCAAAGTGGATCCAAACCAGTCCTTTTTCGAAATGTCCAGGAGGGTTTATTATTATAAGAAACCCGTTCGATGTCCTTGCGAAACCAAACAATGCATAAATGAGTACATAAGAGTCGGTGCAAAAAGTACAAGGATCTATCGGCTCAGTTAAAGGGAGGGATGCGAATCGGGAGCTTCAGGAATCGGATGGGTTTGAAAGGTCAAATTTGGATGGATTTACATCAACGTTGTCGGATTTCTGCAGTTTTACACTGCTTTAAACTACTGTGGCCCCATCCTATGGAACCATGGGAGTTGTAGTTTTACAAGGGATTTAGTCTTCTTAGCCAAAGAGGGTTGGAGTCTCACCAAACTACAAATCCCTGGATCCCACCTTTGTGAGCTGGGTTTCTGCTAAATGGAAACAAGCCAAGCAATGATCGAAGGCATCTTGTTGCTTTTTATCCCAGATTTTTGGAAGTATCAGCATCCCAGTGCTGGAAAATTCAACTTTTTAGGATAATCTGTCCAAGATTTGGACTTGGGGCCGTCTCTACACTGTTGAATTAATGCAGTTTGGCACCACTTCAACTGCTGTGATCAATGCTATGGGATCCTGGGAGCTGTAGCTTGAGGAGGCGCCTGCACTCTTTGGCAAAGAAGGCTAAGGACCCTGTATAACTCCAACGCCGTGGATTCCATAGTATTGAACCAAGGCAGTTAAAGTGGTGCCAAAGAGCATTAATTCAACAGTGTGGCTGTGCCCTTGAACCTGTGGCTGTTTAATGGGATGCACCTAGGTATCGAATCTAAAGGTTCACTTACTGTTTTGCACTTAGATGATACACTTGTGGATAAATTCGTGTTGCAAATGCATTGCGTCAAAGTACTGTCTCTTTTAGGGCTGGATGAAAAACCCGGTCATGTTTTTAATTGGAAACGGGTGACAATCCTATCCTTATTTCCTCCCCACTGTACGGTTCTAGGGAGGGGGACGGGGATGATGGTTTAGAAGAGACTGAACTTTGATGTTTGGGAACCCATGGGTCAGAAGCAACTAGAAGCCGGTTGCCTACAAAACTCAGCAAAATGAAGAGCGAGAGATGGATGGTGCTGGAGCTGCGGTCTCAACCAGGAGGAGCCGAGCCCCACCTCCCATCATCCACCGCTAACAGCGGAGGGGGCATCACTTGGCCCCCTGGGCCTCGGACTCCTCCTCGTCGTCTTCGTACATCTCGCCTTCTTCCTCGGCCGTGGCATCCTGGTACTGCTGGTATTCGGAGACCAGGTCATTCATGTTGCTCTCGGCTTCGGTGAACTCCATCTCATCCATGCCTTCGCCGGTGTACCAATGGAGGAAGGCCTTGCGCCTGAACATGGCTGTGAACTGCTCTGAGATGCGCTTGAAAAGCTCCTGGATGGCGGTGCTGTTGCCGATGAAGGTGGACGACATCTTGAGCCCCCGGGGCGGAATGTCGCAGACGGCCACCTTTACGTTATTGGGGATCCACTCCACGAAGTAGCTGCTGTTCTTGCTCTGGATGGCCAGCATCTGCTCGTCCACCTCCTTCATGGACATGCGGCCACGGAAGACGGTAGCCACCGTCAGGTAGCGTCCATGGCGAGGGTCACAGGCCGCCATCATGTTCTTGGCATCGAACATCTGCTGGGTCAGCTCTGGGACGGTCAGAGCACGGTACTGCTGGCTGCCTCGGGCGGTCAGTGGCGCGAAGCCTGGCATGAAGAAGTGGAGGCGTGGGAAGGGCACCATGTTGACAGCCAGCTTGCGCAGGTCAGCGTTGAGCTGCCCAGGGAAGCGCAATGAGGTGGTGACGCCACTCATGGTGGCTGAGACCAGGTGGTTGAGGTCGCCATAGGTTGGGGTGGCCAGCTTGAGGGTCCGGAAGCAGATGTCATAGAGGGCTTCATTGTCGATGCAGTAGGTCTCGTCTGTGTTCTCCACCAGCTGGTGGATGGAGAGGGTGGCGTTGTAGGGCTCCACCACCGTGTCGGAGACCTTGGGTGAAGGCACCACGCTGAAAGTGTTCATGATCCGGTCAGGGTATTCCTCACGGACCTTGCTGATCAGGAGGGTGCCCATGCCAGACCCCGTGCCGCCCCCCAGTGAGTGGGTCAGCTGGAAACCCTGCAGGCAGTCACAGTTCTCACACTCCTTCCGCACCACATCCAGGACAGAGTCCACCAGCTCAGCCCCCTCTGTGTAGTGGCCCTTGGCCCAGTTGTTGCCAGCCCCGCTTTGCCCTGCAGAGGAAGAGACATGGGAACGCTTGGGCTCAGTCAATGATCAACCTTGGAGGCCATGGATTTGCCATAGAGAAGGTGGTGGGACAGCTCATTGATGGACTTGCCCACTTGCACAACTCAGTTGGAGAGGGTAGAGGGCCAAGTCATCAATGGACTTACCCAGTTGACCATCCCAGGGGAAGACAGTGATGTACCAACCCATGCATGGACTTGCAGTTGACCAACCCATGTGGAGAAGGTGATGGGCCAGCTCATACAGTGACTTGCCCAAACTGGATGGAGAAGATGGTAGGCCAATTCATGAATGGACTTGCCCAGCTGACCAAGCGCAGTTGTGGGCCCATTCATTTATGCACTTGCCCAAGTGGAGAAGGGCTCATGAATGAACTTGCCCAGTTGACCTAATAAGGTTTTGGTCCCACTCATTTATGCACTTGCCCAAAACAGCTGGAGAAAGTGGTGGCGGGCTAATTCATGTATGGACTTGTGCAACCCAGATGGAGAAGGGATGGGTGAACTAACATATGGAGCTTCCCAACCCAAGGACAGAAAGTGGCAGGCCAACTCCTGGATGGACTTGTCCAGTTGACCATCCCAGGTGAAGATAGTGGTGGACCAGCTTATGGATGGGTGTCCCAGTTGACATCCCAAATGGAGAGGGTGGTGGAACTACACACACGAGTGTCACCATTAAGGGAGAAATGACTTGAAGGCACATATGACAAAATTAATCTTAACATGCTTCCTTTAAAGCATTCTCCCTCCTCCCTCCTTATAGGCGTCTCTCCAATCCAGATGTTTCCCATATCTCCAGTTACTCCAAGATCCAAATCCCTTCAAAATGGAGCAGTTAAAATCCTGTGCATCGTAAGATCTACCATTGGCTTTGGGAAGAACCAGGTGCCAGCTTAGGAGCTCTATGGAAAAGCTCAAGGGGCCATACCAAAAATAAAGTTGTCTGGTCTGAAGAGATGTCCGAAAGCCCCGGAGCGGACGCTGTCCATAGTGCCTGGTTCCAGGTCCACCAAGATGGCACGGGGAACGTATTTGTGTGCTGGAGAGACAAAGAAGGCAATATAGTTTATGTTCAATAAGATCCCATAAAGAGCCCAAGGGGTTCCATTGCAGAAATTGACCTTGACCTAAGGGCTGGTAGTCTCCAAAATGTGGCTAATATCCCAACCTTTGGGAACGCAACCAGGAGGACTTACAAGAGGCCTCATTGTAATAGACGCTGATCCTTTCCAGCTGCAAGTCGGAATCGCCCACATAGTTCCCGCTGGGGTCTATGCCGTGTTCGTCACTGATCACCTCCCAGAACTAAAGAGAGAGGAAAACAATTAGAAAGAAAATGATTAGACAGAATAAATCAATGCAATGCATGTTCATGTGTGTGATGGAAAGGAAACTCTGTGGCAGGTTTGCCTTGGCAAGAAAAGAGGAACGCAGGTGGACAAACTGTCCTGAATTTGCAAGACCCAGGCCAAACTGTCAATGCTTCTACACCAAGCATGGGCAAACTTCAGCCCTCAATTGTATTTTGGACTCCAACTCCCACAATTCCTAACAGCCTACCAGTTGTTAGGAATTGGGGGAGCTGAAGTCCAAAACACCTGGAGGGCCAAAGTTTGATCTTACAGTTGGATCTAGCTCTTAGAGCTGTTAATATATTTTTATATTATTATTTTACATTATTATAGTGTCTCCCCAGAGTGGTGGCCATATTAATACATATATATATATATATATATATAGAGAGAGAGAGAGAGAGAGAGAGAGAGAGATTGAGATGATGAAGTTGATAACTTGTAATGCAAGAGTTCTTTGGGAAGGCTCTGTAGATCAGTTAAATTTGAGATGCATTTACTAGCTGCAGTTTCCAAGGGCCAGATAACACGGATTTTGCATGGATTGTGCAAGGAAAGAGGAGGAGGAGCCTTTCCCTTGGCTTGCCTTCTTGAGAGTTGAATGTGCTTCCCTGGCCATGGTCCTGAAACCAAGATGTCTTGTTTACCTGAAGAGAAACTTCTCTGGCTTGCAAATAGCAGACCTCGAATCATGGGAGTTGTAGTTTTGCATTCATTCTCCAGTGTAGATGCTCAAAGGGATTTATGCAGAGTCATCTTCTAAGTGAATGGCGAACATGACCTTGCATGACGGCTCTCTGGCGCACGATTCAGGAGCCATGGGTATCCAGTGTGCAATGCAGCAAGAGAATCGTGCGCAGCTCAGGGGCCGGGAAGAGGGCACGAGAGGCCATGTTTACATATTGGAAAGTATGTCCCATTGAGGAGAAGAGGCCAAGCTTGTTTTCTACTGCTCCAGAGACTAGGGCACAATGAAGCCATGAATTCGAATTGCAGGAAAAGAGATTCCACCTCCACATTAGGAAGAACTTTCTGACAGTAAGAGATATTCATATGCTGCTTGAGAGTCCATTGGCGTCTCCTTCCTTCTTTGGAGGTTTTTAAGCAGAGATTAGATGGCCATCTGTTGGGAGGGCTTGGACTGAGTTTTCCTATGTGGCAGTTTTACAAGGTCTTGGTTCTTCTCTGCCAAAGAGCCAGATTTATAGGAATTGTTCCCTTGGCTATTTAAGTGTAGATGCACCGGGTTGTTGTAGGTTTTTTTGGGCTATATGGCCATGTTCTAGAGGCATTTTCTCCTGATGTTTCACCTGCATCTATGGCAAGCATCCTCAGAGGTACCTCACTACCTCTGTTGTAGGTTTTTTCGGGCTATACGGCCATGTTCTAGAGGCATTCTCTCCTGACGTTTCGCATGCATCTATGGCAAGCATCCTCAGAGGTAGCGAGGTACCTCTGAGGATGCTTGCCGTAGATGCAGGCGAAACGTCAGGAGAAAATGCCTGAAAAAACCTACAACAACCCAGTAGTTCTGGCCATGAAAGCCTTCGACAATATGTAGATACACCCTTAGTAAAACTACAATTTATTTATTTACTATATTTATATACCGCCCTTCTCAGCCCTCAGGCAATGCAGGGCTGTTTACAGAGGCAACGATTCGATGCCCAACTTCTAGGATTTTATAGTATTGAGTGGTACCAAACTGCATTAATTTTACAATGCGGATGCACTCAAAAGTGGCCCTGGGTCCAAAATCTCAGCTGTATTCTGGTGCAGCAATGCGTCTGGAGAACCCCATATACTTTGGCCATAAAACAAGATGATAAATTGTCGAAGGCTTTCATGGCCGGAATCACTGGGTTGTTGTAGGTTTTTTCGGGCTATATGGCCATGTTCTAGAGGCATTCTCTCCTGACGTTCGCCTGCATCTATGGCAAGCATCCTCAGAGGCTTCAAACCTCAGACTTCACAATCTCTGAGAATGCTTGCCATAGATGCAGGCGAAACGTCAGGAGAGAATGCCTCTAGAACATGGTCATATAGCCCAAAAAACCCTACAACAACCAAGAGGATAAATATCTAATAATAATCTGGGCAAATGTTGCCTCAAGCAAAGCAATGATGGAAGTGAGAGAAGAAATGCTTCTCTTTCTCTCTTGTCCTCCCCGCAATTAACCTTGGCCCAGTTCTGGGAAGGATTCATAGGACACCGCATGATGAAGGAAAGTGCAGATCGCAAGGCAGAGATAAAGTAAAGCCCTTTGTCCCGGGGCCCGCAGTTCTGCCTCAAAGGGGCCCTTTTCCCCAAGTCAACACTCCCTTTCCCCCTCTAAATCCCAAGTGGGGATAAGGGACCCTGGGAATATCAGAGAGCAGCTAATGGTCTCAAAAAGCGGCTCTTAAAAACCTTAAAGGTCAACCAATTTAGCCTTTGGAAATTGCAGTTCTTTTTACAGAACTCAGCGTTTCACCAAAGAACATCAGAGGCATCACAAGTTTCCTGGCTGTTTTGGCAACAGACTTTGTTTTTCTTTGCTACAGATTAGCAGAACTACCAGCCTGGAGGAATTATTATTATTATAAGCAAGCCTTAAATCGATCTTTCTCAGCCTTCTTAATGCCGAAACCCTTTAATACAGTTCCTCATGTTGTGGAGACCCCCAACCAGAACATTATTTTGTTGCTATTTCATAACTGTCATTTTGCTATTGTTATGAATCATAATGTAAATATCTGATATGCAGGATGTATTTTCATTCACTGGACCAAATTTGGCACAAATACCCAATACGTCCAAATTTGAATACTGGTGAGGTTGAGGGTTATTGATTTTGTCATTTAGGAGTTGTAGTTGCTGGGATTTATAGTTAACCTACAATAAAAGAGCATTCTGAACTCCACCAATGATGAAATTGAACCAAACTTGGCACAAATACTCAATATGCCCAAATGCAAACACTGGTGGAGTTTGGGGGAAATAGACCTTGACATTTGGGAGTTGTAGGTGCTGGAATTTATAGTTCATCTACAAACAATATTGGAATTGAACCAATATTGGCATACAGAAGTCCTATGAACAATAGAAAATACTGAAAGGGTTTGGTGGGCATTGACCTTGAGTTTTGGAGTTGTAGTTCACCTATATCCAGAGAGCACTGTGGACTCAGAGATCTGGACCAAACTTGGCACGAATACTCAGTATGGCCAAATCTGAACAGTGGTGGAGTTTGGGGAAAATAGACCTTGACATTTGGGAGTTGTAGTTGCTGGGATTTATAGTTCACCTACAATCAAAGAGCACTCTGAACCCCACCAAGGATAGAATTGGGCCAAATTTCCCACACAAAATCCCCCATGACCAACAAAAAATACTGTGCTTTCTGATGGTCTTTAGCGACCCCTCTGACACCCCCTCACGACTCCCCCAAGGGTCCCGACCCCCACTGCCATAAATCTCTCCTCAACTAGTAAGAAATGTCAAGCAAGGCTTCCCAATGACTTTTCTTGTTATTGTTATTTGCTTTTATTTCTCGACTGAGATGCAAAGTTGGAATTCTTGCACCAGTCGAATGTGTTCAGGACTTACGGGTTTGGCAATTGATTATTTAAACACACACAATTAGCATGTGGATATATTGAGTATTAAAGCAAGGCTTCTTGATAATAATATCAATAATAATAATAACTTATATCTTGCTTTAGATTGAGATGCAAAGACAGAGCTCTGTTGCACATTGGTTGGATGCACATAATTACATGTGCATATGTTGAGCATTAAAGTGAGGTTTCCCAACGATAATGTTAATTATAATAAATATTTATATCCTGCTTTGGATTGAGACACAAAGACACAGCTCTATCCTGCATCAGTCCGATGTGCCAATCTCATGACCTATGGTTTTTGCAATGAATTATTCACAGGCACACAATTAGCATGCGCATATATTAAGTGCCAGCTCCTCCTGGTGCATCGCAATCAAGAGGAAAAAGACAAGAGGCCTGTGGAGGCGTTGCCCTATTTCTTTGCCTCGGTTGCTCAAGTTCCAGCCGGGCTTGGCATTGATGCCTACGGAGCTGTCAAAGGCCGAAATGGACCCTTTCCAATCGTGCAAGGCCAGATTTGCAATTGCGGAGAAAGAAATGCCTCTTTGGAGCCCTTGGCCCTTTTCTTGCTGCAGAGGTGTGGCAATGGAGCCTGTGCGCATGCCTTGAAAGAGAGAGAAGCCGGCAAATGATGCAAAGCGGCAAGGAGCCTCAAATCAAAGAGAAAGGAAGGCAAGAGGGGGCCTGGCCGCCTCCCAAGCCTCATTATCGGGCTCGGGATGAGTGGCAGGTGCTCCCTATACATCTCTCTCCTTATACACAATGGGCAGACCCTCCCTTTGGGGCCCAAGAGGCAAGGAATGGGGGGCTCAGCTGTGCTCCTGGAGGCTAATTCGATTCCGAGCCTACGGAGGGGGCCTTAAGTGCCAGTAATTACCCTCATGCAGCCTTTCCAGCCTGATTTTGAATGCAAAGCAAGCACAGATGTCCAGGTTCAGGAAAGGGCAAAGCTGTGCCACGAAACTGGGCGGATTAGGGAGACTCTCTTTTGTGCCTACGAGACACAGGCAGAGAAAAAACCCTATTTGTTTTTCCAAAGGGGTTTCCAAACACACCCACTAAGTCATACGTTGTGTCCCACTCCAACCACACCTTGTGTGCTCATTGTTTGCCAGAGGAAGGAAGCCCCTTGCTTTTTTCCAATTGTATTTCCATCCATTGCACAATATTGCTGCTTTTTGCAATGACCTCCAAGTTTGGCACTGGGCAGCCAAAGGGCTCAGTTGACCAGATCTCAGTGGGGATGTTCCGGCCTCCAAACCCACCAGCCTGCATTTGTTTGGAGGATACAGACCAAGAGGAAGGCAGAGGCTTTGCCCAATATTATATTGATCTTTCCCTTTTATCTCAATTGAGATGGAAAGAGGAAAGGGGCTCGGATGTTCTGTCTTGTCCTCTTCTTCCCCAAAACTTCTCTGTCCAGGTAGAAGACACATCTCTCCTCCTTCCTCCATCTCTCCTTCCTTCTCTTTCCTGTACCTCCTCCCTTTCCTTCCTCTTCTTCCTTCCCTTCACTCCTTCTTTCCACTCCTTCCATCTATCCACCATTTCTCTCCCCACTTTCCTTTTTTCTCCACTGTTTCCTTCGTTTCCTTCAATCCATTCTCTTCTTCCTCTCCCCCCTCCCTCCCTTCCCTGCCCTTATCTCCTTCCTCTCCTTCAATTCTTCCCTTCACTCCTTCTTCTTTCTACTTCTTCCATCTATCCACCCTTTCACTCCCCATTTTCCTTTTTCTCCACTGTTTCCTTCCTTTCCTTCCTTCTATCCATTCTCTTCTTCCTCTCCTCCCTTTCCTCCTTCCTTCCCTACTTTTATCTCCTTCCTCTCCTTCAATTCTTCCCTTCACTCCTTCTTCTTTCCACTCCTTCCATCTATCCACCCTTTCTCTCCCCACTTTCCTTTTTCTCCACTGTTTCCTTCCTTCCACCCATTCTCTTCGTCCTCTCCTCCCTTTTCCCCTTCCTTCCTTCTCTGCATTTATCTCCTTCCTCTCCTTCAATTTTTCCCTTCACTCCTTCTTCTTTCCTCGCTTTCTATTCACCCTTTCTCTCCTCCATTCCTTTTCCTCCACTGTTTCATTCCTTCCATCCATTCTCTTCTTCCTCTCCCCACTTTCCTCCTTCCTTCCCTGCCTTTATCTCCTTCCTCTCCTTCAATTATTCCCTTCACTCCTTCTTTTCTCGTTTTCCATTCATCCACACTTTCTCTCCTCCGTTCCTTTTTCTCCACTGTTTCTTTCCTCTAATTCCTTCCTCATTTCTTTCCTTCACTCCATCCATCCTCTCCTCAGTTTCCTTCCTCCCCTTGTTCCTTACTTCTTTCATTTCTTGCCTGCTTTTATCTCCTTCCTCTCCTTCTATCCTCTTCTTCCTCTCCTCCCTTTCCTTCTAAACCTTCAATCCTTTTCTTCTTTTTCCTTCCTTCCATCCACTCCTTCCTCTCCTCCATTTCTTTCCTCTCCTCCCTCTTCTCTTCCTTTTTGTCTTCCTTGCCTGCCTTTATCTTCTTCCACTCTTTCTATTAATCTTCTCCCTTTCCTTCCAAATCTTCCTTCCTTTTATCTCCTTCTCTTTCCTTCTATCCATCCATCCTATCCTTCCACTCCTCTTCTTTTCTCCCTTCTTTGCCTGCTGCCTTTATTTCCTTCCTCACTTCCTATCCATATTCTCCTTCCTTTCCTTCCAAACCTTCCTTCCTTTTCATTCCTTCTTTTCCCTTCCATCCATCCATCCATCCATCCTCTCCTTCCCCTCATCTGTTTCCTTCGTCTTCTTTTCCTTCTTCCCTTCCTTCCTTGCCTGCTGCCTTTATTTCCTTCCTCTCCTTCTATCCATCTTCTCCTTCCTTCCTTTTCTTCTTTTCCCTTCCATCCATCCAGCCGTCCTATCCTTCCTCTCCTCTGTTTCCTTCCTCTTCTTTTCCTTTCTCCCTTCTTTGCCTGCTGCCTCTATCTCCTTCCTCTCCTTCTATCCATCTTCTTCCTTTCCTCACTTTCCTTCCAAACCTTCCTTCCCTCCATCTGTCCTTCCTTTGGCTCATCCATCACCTTCCTTCTTCTCCTTCCTTCCACTAATACCAACGGCTTTGCGCTTCCCTAGGTGCAAAAGGGGGAGACAAGGATGCCAGACACACAAAGCAGCCAGGCCGCACCCCAACAATGAGCTTGCTGTGACTCCCAGAGAGGGGAAGAAAGACCCCCTTCCAGGGTTTCCTTGGAGGAAACACAATTGGGGCAGATTGAATGCTAATAAAGCCCAAAAAAGGCCAAAGGAGGGAAGGAGGGAGTGCTTAGCCAAGGTCAGGGTTGGTGGAGGGAAGGTCAGAGCCAGAGGGAGGGAGGGGCCCCTTTGTTCTGGATGTTGGGAGGGGCAGTCCCTTCCTGGGTGTGGCACAGAGGGTGGGGGGAGTGGGTCTGAAGAAGGGAGAAGGAGCCAGAAAGAGGGAAAGGGGCCCCTCCCCTTCTTTGTCTCCAGAGGAGATAGTTCCCCTCCCATTCCTCTCTCAATCCAAGATGCCCAGGGCTCTTTGGGGCAGTCTCGATGACCTCCAAAGCCCCCAACTCCCCCAATTTGCTTCCTAGGCAAAGCCGGCTGAAATCATTGAGTTGCTGTGAGTTTTTCTGGCTGTCTGATCATGTTCCAGAAGCATTCTCTCCTGACGTTCCACCCACATCTATGGCAGGCATCCTTAGAGGTCGGGAGGTCTGTTGGAAACTAGGCAAGTGGGGTTTATATATCTGTGGAATAATGTCCTGGGTGGGAGAAAGAACTCTTGCCTGTTGGAGGCAAGTCTGAATGTTGCAATTGAATGCTACTGAATGGCCTTGCAGCTTCAAAGCCTGTCTGCTTCCTGTCTGGGGTAATCCTTTGTTGGAAGGTGGTTAACTGGCCCTTATTGTTTCTTGCCTGGAGTTCCGCTGTTTTTTGAGAGTCATTCTTTATTTACTGTTTTGATTTTAGTTTTCAAAATACTGCTAGCAACATTCACACCGGTCTCCTACAGACAAAGAGATCTTTCTCCCACCCTGGACATTCCACAGATACATAAATCCCACTTTCCTAGTTTCCAACAGACCTCACAACCTCTGAGGATGCCTGCCATAGATGCAGGTGAAACGTCAGGAGAGAATGCTTCTGAAACATGGCCAGACAGCCCAGAAAACGCACAGCAACCCAGTGATTCCGGCCATGAAAGCCTTCGACAAGACAAAGATTGGTTCAGCAATCATGTCCGTTTTGTGAGACAGGGCACCCCAGATGTCTGCGGAAACAAGGCAAGTGGGAAACATACGGAAACAAGGGAAGTGGAGTTTATACTTCCAACAAACCTCACAACCTCTGAGAATGCCTGCCATAGATGTGGGCAAAATGTCAGGAGAGAATGCTACTGGAACATGGCCATACAGCACAGAAAACTCACAGCAACCCAACTCTTTGTTTGCTAGAGGCAAGTGTGAGTGTTGCGATTGGCAAGCTTGATTAGCACTGAATGGCCTTGCAGCTTCAAAGCCTGGCTGTTTCCTGCCTGGGGGAATCTTTTTTTTAGGAGGTGATTAACTAGCCCTGAAAAACTCACAGCAACCCAATTCTTGTCTGCTGGAGGCAAGGATGAATGTTGCAATTGGCAAGCTTGATGAGCACTGAATGGCCTTGCAGCTTCAAAACCTGGCTGCTTCCTGCATCTGGGAATCCTTTGTTGGGAGGTAATTAGCTGGCCCTGAAAAATTCACTGCCACCCAACTCTTGTCAGCTGGAGGTAAGGATGAATGTTGCAATTGGCAAGCTTGATTAGCATTGAATGGCTTTGCAGCTTTGAAGCCTGGCTGCTTCCTGTATGGGAGAATCCTTGTTAGGAGGTGATTAACTGGCCCTGAAAAATTCACTGCCACCCAACTCTTGTCAGCTGAAGGCAAGGATGAATGTTGCAATTGGCAAGCTTGATTAGCATTGAATGCCCTTGCAGCTTTGAAGCCTGGCTGCTTCCTGCATGAGGGAATCCTTTGTTAGGAGGTGATTAACTGGCCCTGAAAAACTCACAGCAACCTAACTCTTGTCAGCTGGAGGCCAGTGTGAATGTTGCAATTGGAAAGCTTGATTAGCACTGAATGGCCTTGCAGCTTCAAAGCCTGGCTGCTTCCTGCATCGGGAAATCCTTTGTTAGGAAGTGATTAACTGGCCCTGAAATCTACAGCAACCTAACTCTTGTCAGCTGGAGGCAAGGATGAATGTTGCAATTGGTAAGCTTGATTAGCACTGACTAGCCTTGTAGCTTGGAAGCCTGGCTGCTTCCTGCTTGGGGGAATCCTTTGTTAGCTGTCTGACAATTGTTAACAAGTACCATGTCAGACGACACAAGGAAGCCATTGCAATCTTATAAGCATGTGGACAATTTCAACAGAAAAGGGGAAACCATAATAATAATAATAATAATAATAATAATAATAATAATAATAATAATAATAATTTATAACCCGCCACCATCTACTCAAAGGGGACTCGGGGCAGTTTACATGAGGCCAAGCCCAGTAGTGCATTACAACAAATAAAATAAAATAAAGTAGTGCATTACAACAAATAAATAAAAAATAAAATAAAAAAATGAACATAATCAGTGGCTACCAGTATTATTATTATTTTTAAATTCTAAATTCAGAACAGTAAACAAAGAGGTACACTCTGAAAACAGCAAAATTCCTGATAGGCAACAATCAGGGCCAGCTAATCACCCCCTCCCAAACAAAGGATTCCCTGCAGGCAGGAAGCAGCCAGGCTTTGAAGCTGCAAAGCTATTCAATGCTAATCAAGGTAATTAATTGCAACATTCACACCGTCCTCAAGCAGACAAGAGTCCTTTCTCTCGCCCTGGACATCATTCCACAGATATATAACCCCCCTTGCTTAGTTTCCACATAAAACAAAAGCATCCCCTCTGCAAAGAAGTAAACAAAACATGCAACCCTTGCTCTCTCTCTGTTTGGCTACCTTGGCTCCTATCTGGTTGCCGCACTGGCCCGCCTGGATGTGGACGATCTCCCTCATGGTGGCTTCGCGGGGTGTGTGCGTGGGTGAGTGGGTGTTTTTTCTCTTTTTCCCTCGGGCGGAAAAGCTTCGGAAGCGGCAGCGTCGGCGGCAGAGGCGTCTGGGCGTCGGCGGCGGGTTTTATGAGCGGCCGGCGGTCCAGGCGGTGACGTCACCGGTGCGCCTTAGCCAATCAGGGGCCGCCGCTACTGCAGGGAGGAGGAGAGAAGAAAAAGACTGCAGCATCCCTGCAGCATCAGGACCACTGCAGCAGCTGTAGCCACAGAAGAGCATCCTTTTAAGGCAGGCATGGGCTCACTTCGGCCCTCCGGGTGTTTTGGACTTCAACTCCCACCATTCCTAACAGCCTACTACAGCTCCCAGAAGCCCCCAGCCTGCGAATGCAGGCTGGGGGCTTCTGGGAGCTGTAGTAGGCTGTTAGGAATGGTGGGAGTTGAAGTCCAAAACACCCGGAGGGCCCTCTTTCCAAAGCCAATATGTATAAAAAGCTCAATATTTATATTTAGGGCTGGTGTTGCACTTTAAAGAGGGCTTGTCCCGACTTACGAACAGATTCGACTTAAGAACAAAGCTACAGAACTCATCTTGCTCATAACTTGGGGACTACCTATATGGATATAGGTATATATATATCCATACTGCCTATATGGATATACACACACACACGTGTGTGTGTGCATATATAATAATAATAATAATAATAATAATAATAATAATAATAATCTTTATTTATACCCCACCACCATCTCCCCAAAGGGGACTTGGGGCAGCTTACATGAGGCCAGAAGTGCATTACAATACAGTAACATAAAAAGCATAAAATTATATATATATATATATATATATATATATATATGTATATGTATGTATATGTATGTATATGTATGTATATGTATGTATATGTATATGTATATGTATATAAATGCAATAATGGGATAATAATTCAAAGGAAGTCTGAGGCCCCATGGAACAAAAGGCTGGTCCTTTCCCCAGCTACAGAAAGGCAGTGAGAAGGGGAAAAAAGGGGGGATGACATACAGAGAGACCCCTCCCTTCCTCCTTTCCGCTTCTCCTTTGTTCCCAGCATCAGGATCTCCCCCTCCCCTTTTTTTCCTTTTTGGGGAGGGGGAATTGGCAGGGGTCCCCAGATCTTCTTCCTGTCCTTCCTTCCTTTTGTCCTGATGGCAGGGACAAAGGGTTGGAGAAAGAAGAAACTGACCCTTGGCATTGGGGGGAGGGGGGAGAGGGGGCTTTGGGAGGGGCAGGAAGGGGCGAGGCTTCCCCTGATTGACATGAGAGCCCCCCTCCCCTTTATAGGAATCAATAGCCAAGGACAACACGCCTGGTCTGTTTACCATGAAAGTGAAAAGGAAAAGAAAGAGAGGAGAAGTCACATAATTATTCATGTGGATTCTTTCAAAATATGATAATAATAATATATTTAAATAATATTAATATTTAAAAAAACCCAAGTATGGATAATTGATGTTGCAATCCCAGGTGACAGCAGGATTGAAGCAACTGGAAAAGCTAACACGATATGAGGATTTAAAGCTTGAACTGCAAAGATTCTGGTACAAGCCAGTCAAGGTGGTCCCAGTGGTGATCGGCACACTGGATGCAGTGCCTCAAGACCTTGGCCTGCACTTAAATACAATTGGTACTGACAAAATTACCACCTGTGAGCTGCAAAAGGCCACCCTACTGGGATCTGCACACATTATTCACCGATACATCACACAGTCCAAGACTCTTGGGAAGTGTCCGACATGTGACTAATACAACAACCATCATAGAGATCTTGTTTGCTGTGGACTCATCTTGTTATGTTTCAAATAATAATAATTCAATAGGACTATTAGTTTCAAAATGTCGCTATCATGGAAATATTATTCATAACGTTGTGCTGTCGAAGGCTTTCATGGCTGAAATCATTTAAGTTGCTATTTGTTTTCTGTGCCATATGGCCATGTTCCAGAAGCATTTTCTCCTGACGCTTCACCTGCATCTATGCCCTCAGAGGTTGTGAGGTCTGTTGGAAACTAGGCATGTGCGGTTTGTATATCTGTGGAATGTCCAGGGTGGGAGAAAGAACTCTTGTCTGCTTGAGGCAAGTCAGCAACCTCAAACTCAACACCGATGACATACTGATCAGCTTCGATGTGGTGTCTCTATTTACCAAGGTAAATGATTCTGTCAAGGTGATGCATGCCATATACCAGTAAATATGGAAAACACAAGAATGGTCATCAGATTGGGAAAAAATCCACTTCTATCCCCATACCAAAAAAAGGGAAACGCTAAATAATGCTCAAACTTCCGTACAGTGGCCCTTATTTCTCATGCCAGTAAGGTAATGCTCAAGATCCTGCAAGGTAGACTCCAGCAATACATGGAGAGAGAGTTACCAGATGCACAAGCTGGGTTTAGAAAAGGCAGAGGAATGAGAGACCAGATTGCCAACGTCCGCTGGATAATGTAGAAAGGCAGGGAATTCCAGAAAAACATTTCTTTCTGTTTTATTGACTACTAGCTGTACCCGCCATGCATTGCTATGGCCAACCTTCCCTCCCACTTTCTCTTCTTTCCTTCTCTCCCTTTTCCCATCCTCCTCCCTTTCTTTCCCTTCTTCTTTCTCCCCATTCTTCCTTCTTTACCTATTCTTGGACTGCAACTCTCAGCAGTCCTTCTGATTGATCATCTACCTTCCTATCTATCTCTATCTAATCTCTCTATCTGGAGGATTGCTGGGAATTGCAGTCCAGGAATAGGAAATTGGAAATATGCAGGGATTGAGATGCGCTCAAAGAAGGAAGGAGAAGAAAGCTTGCATCTTGGAAGCAGTGCATTTGGATCATCTTCCTCTCCTAAAGAGCCTGGTGTAGGGGATGCTGGGAGCTGTAGTTCGGAAGCGAGTGTGATTTGCTATTGTGTGAGTTTTTTTGCCAGGGGGAGTAGTTTTTGCACAAGCGGTGTAGCGTCTTCTTCCTTTTTTGGCTTTTTAAGTCCCTTCTGCTGTGTTTTGCGGTGTTTTTATGAGTATTTATTTATCGTGTCAGGCAACCAGACAATTGTATTACATTTCTAACAGAACAAAACAAACAAACAGAAAAACACAAAATTTGCAAGCTTGATAGTTGATTAAATGTCCTTTGATCAGTATCTATGGCCACTTGGAGTGCCTGTGGTGTTGCCGCAAGAAGGTCCTCCATCGTGCATGTGGCAAGGCTCAGGTTGCATTGCAGCAGGTGGTCAGTGGTTTGCTCTTCTCCACACTCACATGTCGAGGATTCCACTTTGCAGCCCCATTTCTTAAGATTGGCTCTGCATCTCGTGGTGCCAGAGCGCAGTCTGTTCAATGCCTTCCAAGTCGCCCAGTCTTCTGTGTGCCCAGGAAGGAGTCTCTCATTTGGTTGAGGTTCTGGGTTTGAGCCTGCCACTTTTGGACTCTCAATTGCTGAGGTGTTCCAGCGAGTGTCTCTGTAGATCTTAGAAAACTATTTCTTGATTTCTTGATTTAAGTCATTGACGTGCTGGCTGATACCCAAACAAGGGATGAGCTCGAGATATTTTTATGAGTGATGGTCAGTCATTGGCCTGATAGGGGTGTAGTGTCCAAATTTAGTGTCAATTTGTCCAGCGATTTTTGAGTTAAGTTAATCCCACAAACTAACATTACATTTTTATTTATATAGATTCTAAAGCCTTTGACGGTGTGGATCATAATAAATGGTGGCAAGCTCTTGGTGGGATGGGGAGACCAAGCCACTTTGTCTGTCTCCTGAGGAATCTGTATAATGACCAAGTAGCAACAGGAAGAACAGACCATGGAACAACTGACTGGTTCAAGATTGGGAAAGGCGTATGACAGGGTTGTATATTCTCAGCCCACCTATTCAACTTGTATGCAGAACACAAAACCCGTTTCGGATGTAGGGGGCGCTGGTGGTTCAATTCGGTAGTCAATTCAGATTTTCATAGAAAAAAATGTTCAAAACTTTTTGAAACTTCTGAGACTTCCAAATCCTTCCTTAATGGTTTGAAAGTGTTATTTCTTGTTTCATTGGGTGGTCTTTACTTTGAAAGGAAATTCATCCAGTCTGGTTTAAAACGCTTTCCAGGCTGGAGACAAAAGCAAGGGGAGAGGAAAGGCAGGAAATCCATCCAGTCTGGTTTAAAATGCTTCCTAGGCTTGAGACCAGAAGCGGGGAAAGCTGAATAATTTCCGACTCACTTACTGCTTCGTAACAGAAATGGCAGAAAAAGCTTCGGAAGGGCAAAGGGACTTCTGGTTTCCTTAAAACTTCAAAATCTCTTCAAAAAACAAATCTTTCCGAATTTATTCTGAATTACAAAGATTCCGACCGAACCTAACCATGCCTACTGTTCAGCAATGGAACTCTCTACCCCGGAGTGTGGTGGAGGCTCCTTCTTTGGGGGCTTTTAAGCAAAGGCTGGATGGCTATCTTTCAGGGATGCTTTGAATGTGATTTTCCTCTTCTTGGCAGAATGGGGTTGGGCTGGATGACCCACCAGGTCTCTTCCAACTCAAGGATTCTATGAGTCTATGAAAAAGGAAGAGGGGCTGACCAAGGGCAAGGTGGATGGATGGAAGTGGGGGTGGCCATGGCTACAGGGAGCTCTGGCCTGAGTTGGTCCATGAGGTCATGAAGAGTCAGAAGCAACTGAACAAATAAACAACCAAAGCTTTGCCTTGGCTTCCCTCCGAGGCTGAGAGAGCCCGACTCAAACCCCGATCTCTAGGGTTCAAACCGATATCTCTGGGGAGTTTTCTGCTGCCAAGGAAAAGGCAGAAGCTGTATTCGATTCCCTTCCAGAACAAAAGGCAACACCCATGCCTTTCTTTCCCTCCCTCCTTTTTCCTCCACTTGCATGAATGGCAGAACGGGGCCAATGCCTGGATCCATCCCCTCCCCCCTAGAAAGCGAGAGAATAATATTTTGCAAGGCTGTTTGGCATCACAGGGCTTCAACCTCATTCTTCTATCCCTCTCCGAAATAATAAAGACAGCGGTCCATTGGCTTGAGCACTGCGTTCAAATCCATGGAAGCCCTTCTCCTGGGAAAGGCATGGCAGATCCCCTCCAAAGAAGAAGCCTG